ATGACTGTATGGAGCGTCATTACCTTCCTGCAGAAGCGGTACCTATTGTTCTACTCACATTTGCATGTTTTCAAACTGTTAGGCACTGGGATTGTGGTGCAGCTGACTGAGTGTCAGCTGCATTAAGATCACTCTGACCAAAAGATCATGAGTTTGAAATCAGAGTGGGTTTCCAACCAATTGTGTGTAGCCTGTTGTCGACCTTTGCAACCCCAAAGACAATTGTATCTATCAAGCAGGAAAATTAGGTACCACCTTAAAAGTGTTGGGAGGTTAAATTAACTGATTTAGGAGGCTATAAAGAAGACTCCAGTCACTTCAAGGATGCCATCCATCCATCTTGGCCGACCAAGGGCAAGATGGATGGATGGCATCCTTGAAGTGACTGGACTGACCTTGAAGGAGCTGGGGGTGGTGACGGCCGACAGGGAGCTCTGGCGTGGGCTGGTCCATGAGGTCACGAAGAGTCGGAAACGACTGAACGAATGAACAACAACAACAAAGAAGACTCCAGCAAAGCATTCCAGCGGGGAAGCATGCGGGGAAGAATGCGGAAGTGCTTCATCAGCGTCGCAGATGGACGATGAAAGCGACAGCTCCCCTGGTGGCCAGAAAAAAAGTTAAATAGCCTCTGTGTATGTCTGTATATGTTTATATGTCAAAAATTGGCATTGAATATTTGCCATATATGTGTACACTGTAATCCGCACTGAGTGCCCTGCGGGGTGAGAAGGGCGGAATAGGAAAGGAGAGACCTTAAACTCTACTACGAAGCCTGCGGTCTAAGATGGATAAAAGACTGGATTCTATTAAGAAAGGAAAGAACATTAGAATTAGAGGGCTTTGACCTGAGAATAGGTTGGCATTCGTACCTTTGGTATGACCAAATTAAGAAGGAAAAGAACTTCAACAACCACTTCATCAGGTCCGCACTAATGAAAATCTGGACCAGATATAAGACCAAACTCTATTCAAAGACCCCCTTATGGATTTCCCCTTTGGAAGCGGGGCAGAGAAGATTACTGGGGTGGTCAAAGTGGCCCACCTATAAAGATGCGTGACTGCATCTCCATCTACGAACCCACGCGTTCTCTTCGGTCATCTGGAGAGGCCCTGCTCGTGATCCCACCGGCGTCGCAAGCGCACTTGGTGGGGACGCGGGACAGGGCCTTTTCCATGGTGGCCCCCCGACTCTGGAACACCCTCCCCAAAGACCTCAGACAGGCCCCTACATTGGCTGTCTTCAGAAAGAACCTGGCTTTTCCGATGCGCCTTCCCAGATTAGGAAATCTCCACCACCAAGTCCCATAAGCACTTTATCAGAACCAATGATTGCTGCACATCGCACATCGCACTTGCCCTGGAAGCCCTATATACACCTCCTGTCACATCAGCACCCATTGCTCTGGCCCGGCCCAGTTTTATTGTGTTTACTGTACTGTGCCTGTTGTTTATTTTGCTTTATTCTATTTTAATTGTTTGATTTACTTAGATTGTATTGTTGTGTTGTGTGTTGAGGCCTCGGCCTGTGTAAGCCGCATCGAATCCTTCGGGAGATGCTAGCGGGGTACAAATAAAGTTTAATAATAATAATAATAATAATAATAATAATGTTCTAACCAAAAAAGATGGCATGTTACAACTGAAAACAAAGGAAGAAATTTCCCAAAAATTTAACACTGTCTCATGGTTCCAGTATATCCAATTAAAGGAATATTTTAAGAAGGACAGAGAAATAGGCTTCAATGAAAAAGATGATTTCCAAGATAAGATCATACTGAAGGAGAAAAAAACGATAACGAAGATCTACAATAAGTTACTACACTGGGCAACAGAGACAGAGTTAATCAAGGAAAGCATGATTAAATGGGCATAAAACATCGGAAGAGAAATAAAACTGAGTGAATGGTAGAAGTTATGGACCAAGAAGATCAAGTATACATACTCGATAGATTTAAAGGAGAATCAGATCAAGATGATATATAGATGGTACATGACTCCTCAGAAACTAAGTGTAATGTATAAAAATTCCTGGAATAAATGCTGGAAATGTAGCACACAGGTCGGAACATTCTATCACGCTTGGTGGACCTGCCCCAAGATGAAAACATTCTGGAAGATGGTACAGGAGACATGTGAGAAGATATTTAAAACAAAGATCCAACTAAAGCCAGAGTATTTCCTGCTAGGTCTAGTAGATGAAGAACTAGAAAAAGACCGAAATAATGATATTCTATTCACATACCTCGCTACCGCAGCGAGAATGGTAACAGCAAAAAAAAGGAAGCAAAATGAACCCGCAACGAAAGAAGAATGGCTAAAAAAAATTCAAGAAATTAAGGGCGCGGACAAACTAACGTTTGCCCTTAAAGAATCTTATGGTAGACCCATTATAAAGACAAATTGGAAATTGGTGGAGGACTTTCTCACCGAAGAATACAAACCGGAAAATCAACAATAAGAAAAAGAACAGCAAGGACACAGGAAAACAGTAAAGAAGAGACAGGAATAAGAAGAAAAATGGTAATATCAAGAGTACAGTAGGAGTGGAGTGAAAGTTTTTCTACAAGCAAAAGGAAACAGAAGAATAGAGAGAAAATGGAGAAGAAGATTGGAAGACGACAGAAACCCCCAACCCGATCCCCCACCTCACCTCCACCCCCTTCTCACTCCACACCTCCCCCTCCCCCTCCCTTGCTTCCCCTATTTAGAAATTCTATGTATAGAACTGCCCAGACACACATATACCACCCAATAATAATAATAATAATAATTGTGCTGGTACAGCTGTACCAGGAGCTCCTATTTTGTTTGCTTTGCAGTTAATGTTTGTTTGCAATCCCAGGCTTGGGATTTTGCAGCAGGGTGGCTTCCTGTTATAGGCTGCAACCATAGGGTAAGCCACCTGCCAATTATAGTTAGGATCCCTGGTCCCGCCCCCTTTTTGCTTTTTGGATATTTGCATTTATAGGGTAAGCCACCTGCCAATTATAGTTAGGATCCCTGGTCCCGCCCCCTTTTTGCTTTTTGGAGGGAAAGGGCCATTTTTCAATTAGTTACAGCAAGAGAAGCCAAGGCAGAGGATGCATACAGACATTCCTCCTGTGCAAAAGCTTCGTCTTTTAAGACTTCCTGGGGAAGAACAGATTGAAGGCCTCTACAGATTCCCAAAGGGTTCCAGGGAACAGCTTTACAGCCCTGAGGACCTCCAGAGGGAATAACAGCTCTTCATCTTCAGCTAGGTGAATTCAAGCCTGATGGTACGTCTGTTTCGGTTCTGAGACGCAGTTCAGCCGGTAGCAGACTCAAACCAGTTAGGTTTAAGTTCACAGCAGCTTGGGAGGAGCTTTAAAGGGGAATTTTTCTGTTAAAGTTTTCTTGAAGATAGGATAAAAAGATAAAGTTTTTCTTGAAGAAGGATAAAAAGATAGGTTTTAATCAGGACAAAAACTTCTGGGATAATATAATGGAGTCAAAAAGAAAATTAATAACGAAGATATATAAAAAGCTGCTAGAATGGAAAATGGAAACAAAGGGAGAAAAAAATTACAGAAAAAGATGGAATGAAAATATTGGAAGAAATATTAAGCAAGAGGAATGGGAAAAAATCTGGAGAGAAAAACTAAAATACTGTTATGCCATTGATATGAAAGAAAATTGGCTTAAGACGGCGCACCGATGGTATATAACACCGAAATAATTAGGGGCGAGCAATAGCAGTGCCAGCACAAGGTGCTGGAAATGTAAAGAAAAGGAAGGCTCGTATTTCCATACATGGTGGACTTGTAGAAAGGCAAAAAAATATTGGAGGGAAGTACAAAAAGAATTACAAGAAATGCTACAAATTAAAATACCATGGAGGCCAGAGTTATTTCTCCTAGGGATGCATGATTTGAAAATAGAAAAGAATATTGATAAGATTTTGTTTCTGATAACAACAGCAGCAAGGATAACTTATGCTAGAAGATGGAAGCAGGAAGATACGCCAGATGAAAACGAGAGATTGACAAAAATTTTGGAAGTAAGAAATATGGACCGGCTCACTTTTCTAATAACAAGAAGTAAAGGAATAAAAATGAAGGAAACAAACTGGGAAAAAGTGATGGATTATTTCAAGCAAAGGAATAAAAAGATCCTGACATAACTGAGAAAGAGTGGGAGGGAAGGAAGAGGAGGAGAAAGAAGACGAGGAGAGAAGAAGGGGAAGAAGAGGAGAAGGAGGTCAGATGAACGACAGAGAAGACCCTGTGAAAACCCCGGGAAGTCGAAAGCAAGAATCTACTTTTTTTTCCTTTTTAACTCTGGGCTTTTGGGGCTAAATATCTTTTTTTTTCTTTTTTTTCTTTTCTTTCTCTTCCTCTTGCCTCTATTCTACTCTTTTTGGTCACTATATCATCTTCATATTTTGGGGAACTGATATACACATACTTTATATTTTGTTTCTTACTGGTAGCCTTGGCTACAAAGCTATATTTTAATTGTATTTGAAAAAACTGAATAAAGATTATATTAAAAAAAAGTTTTCTTGAAGATAGTGCCTGTTTCCTGCAAACAAGACTGCAGAAGCCAATAGACTATTTAGAAATTTTACAGTTCCTGCTTGTTCATTAATAAAGACTGTTGTATTTAAGCTCCAAGTCTCCTAAAGCCTGCTTAATAGGGAAAGTTCCTCTAAAGGCTCCTTCTCGGGCCCCCGGGCTTCCCGCTGGACGCAAGCCTTGCATCCTCTTTTAGAAGCACTTAATTTCGGCTCCAGCGGTGACAGAACAATAAGTAAAAGAGAAAATGTATTTAATAAAAAATATTTATAAATAAATAGATAAATGGGTTGGCAGAAGCTGGGGCTAACAGCGGGAGCTCACCCCTGCTCCCTGGATTCAAACCGGCGACCTTTTTGACATCAAGTTATTATATAATACATAATAATATTATAATAATAATAAACAATGATAATGATACGAGAGAATCAGGGTGACTATTCTTCTGCAAAGCAGACTCACCTCGACAGGCAACCTCGAGCTCTCCATCTCTGCCAAAAGCCAAACCCGCTTCTCTGCCTCCAGGGCTCGGCCACGCCCCCTTCGCGGCCACGCCCCCTCAGACAGGGTCACCATGGCGACGGCGCGGAGCATGTTGGGAATGACAGTCCGCGCCCTTGATGGCGTCATCACCTGTGCGCCGGAAGTCTGGATGTGCTGAGTTGGTGGAGGGTTCTTCGCTGGCTTGCTGAGGAAGGCTCGTCATGGCGGTGAGTAAGGTGCCAGCAGGGCCACTTCAGGATCCCTCCAGACTGTTGGGGCCGGGCTATCTTTTGTTGTTGTTGTGCCGTCAACTCTCTCCCAGAGTTTCCTTGCCAACATTTGTCCATAGCGGGTTTGCCTGTGTGTTTCCTCATCTATCTTCTATATATATATATAAATGTTCTATTCATAATGAGTTCCTTAAAAACAAAAGAACCAATGAACGAAATCACACCAAATTTGGCAACAAAACGTCTCACAACACAAGGAGTGATCATCACTCAAAAAATTATGATTTTGTCATTTGGGAGATGTTGTTGTTGTTCATTTGTTCAGTCGTCTCTGACTCTTCGTGACCTCACAGACCAGCCCACGCCAGAGCTCCCTGTCGGCCGTCACCACCCCCAGCTCCTTCAAGGTCAGTCCAGTCACTTCAAGGATGCCATCCACCCACTTTGCCCTTGGCCGGCCCCTCTTCCTTTTACCTTCCACTTTCCCCAGCATCATTGTCTTCTCTAGGCTTTCCTGTCTCCTCATGATGTGGCCAAAGTATGGACTGGTTGGATCTTCTGCAGTCCAAGGCACTCTCAGAACTTTCCTCCAACACCACAGCTCAAAAGCATCTCTCTTCCTTCGCTCAGCCTTCCTGAAGGTCCAGCTCTCGCAAAAATTAGGATGAATGCAATGAAAGAAGCTAGCTCAAACTTCCGTACAGTGGCCCTTATTTCTCATGCCAGTAAGGTAATGCTCAAGATCCTGCAAGGAAGACTCCAGCAATACATGGAGCGAGAGTTGCCAGATGTTCAAGCTGGGTTTAGAAAAGGCAGAGGAATGAGAGACCAGATTGCCAATATCCGCTGGATAATGGAGAAAGGCAGGGAGTTTCAGAAAAACATCTATTTCTGCTTCATTGACTATTCTAAAGCCTTTGACTGTGTGGATCATAATAAATTGTGGAAAGTTCTTGGTGGGATGGGCATACCAAGCCCCCTTGTCTCTCTCCCGAGGAATCTGTACAAGGACCAAGTAGCAACAGTCAGAACTGACCACGGAACAACAGACTGGTTCAAGATTGGGAAAGGCGTACGGCAAGGCTGCATACTCTTACCCAACCTTTTAAACTTGTATGCAGAACACATCATGCGATGTGCGGGGCTTGATGAATGCAAAGCTGGGGTGAAAATTGCTGGAAGAAACATTAACAACCTCAGATATGCAGATGACACCACTCTGATGGCCGAAAGCGAGGAGGAGCTGAGGAGCCTTCTAATCAAGGTGAAAGAAGAAAGCGCAAAAGCTGGGTTGCAGCTAAACGTCAAAAAAACCAAGATTATGGCAACAAGAATGATTGACAACTGGAAAACAGAGGGAGAAAATGTGGAGGCCGTGACAGACTTTGTATTTCTAGGTGCAAAGATTACTGCAGATGCAGACTGTGGCCAGGAAATCAGAAGACGCTTACTTCTTGGGAGGAGAGCAATGTCCAATCTCGATAAAATAGTAAAGTAGAGACATCAGAATGGCAACAAAGATCCGTATAGTCAAAGCAATGGTATTCCCTGTAGTAACCTACGGATGTGAGAGCTGGACCTTAGGGAAGGCTGAGCGAAGGAAGATCGATGCTTTTGAGCTGTGGTGTTGGAGGAAAGTGCTGAGAGTGCCTTGGACTGCGAGAAGATCCAACCAGTGCATCCTCCAGGAAATAAAGCCCGACTGCTCATTGGAGGGAAGGATACTAGAGACAAAGTTGAAGTACTTTGGCCACATCATGAGGAGACAGCAAAGCCTAGAGAAGACAATTATGCTGAGGGAAAGAGGAAGGCAAAAGGAAGAGGGGCCGACCAAGGGCAAGATGGATGGATGGCATCCTTGAAGTGACTGGACTGACCTTGAAGGAGCTGGGGGTGGTGACGGCCGACAGGGAGCTCTGGCGTGGGCTGGTCCATGAGGTCACAAAGAGTCGGAAGAGACTGAACGAATAAACAATGGCTATCATATCTCCTCTCAGCTTCTCTTCTTCAGGCTAAACATGCCCAGCTCCTTAAGCCACTCCTCATAGGGCTTGTTCTCCAGACCCTTGATATTTTAGTCACCCTCCTCTGGACACATTCCAGCTTGTCAATATCTCTCTTGAATTGTGGTGCCCAGAATTGGACACAATATTCCAGGTGTGGTCTAACCAAGCAGAATAGAGGGGTAGCATGACTTCCCTAGATCTCGACACTATGCTCCTATTGATGCAGGCCAAAATCCCATTGGCTTTTTTTGCCGCCACATCACATTGTTGGCTCATGTTTAACTTGTTGTCCACGAGGACTCCAAGATCTTTTTCACACATACTGCTCTCAAGCGAGGCGTCCCCCATTCTGTATCTTTGCATTTGCCAAAGTGGAGGCTGAAAGAGCGTGGCTTGCCTTGCCTAAAGGTACCCAGCGGGTTCAGAGCCACAATCCCAAGGCTCAAACTACAAGGCCATCCTTTCTGAATTCCGCATTCCTTCTCTCTTTTTTCTACCTCCTTTTTCTTTCTTTCTATTCTCAACTCAGTTTTAGAGGGAGGAAGAAGCGGATGGAAAGGATTCTCTTCATTGTATTGTTGAAGGCTTTCATGGCCGGAATCACTGGGTTGTTGTAGGTTTTGTCGGATGCCCGTAGGGATACCAAGGTGTTTGTTTATAGAGCTATTGTCCTCCCAACCCTGCTATATGCCTGTGAGACGTGGACTGTCTACAGACGTCACATGCAACTCCTGAAACGATTCCATCAGCGCTGCCTCCAGAAAATCCTGCAAATCTCTTGGGAAGACAGGCGGACAAACGTCAGCGTGCTGGAAGAAGCAAAGACCACCAGCATTGAAGCGATGGTCCTCCGCCATCAACTCCGCTGGACCGGCCACGTTGTCCGGATGCCCGACCACTGTCTCCCAAAGCAGTTGCTCTACTCCGAACTCAAGAATGGAAAACGGAATGTTGGTGGGTAGGAAAAGAGATTTAAAGATGGGCTCAAAGCCAGCCTTAAAAACTCTGGCATAGACATTGAGAACTGGGAAGCCCTGGCTCTTGACCGCTCCTGCTGGAGATCAGCTGTGACCAGCAGTGCTGCAGAATTTGAAGAGGCACGAATGGAGGGCGAAAGGGAGAAGCGTGCCAAGAGGAAGGCGCGTCAAGCCAACCCCGACCGAGACTGCCTTCCACCTGGAAACCAATGCCCTCACTGCGGAAGAAGATGCAGAGCAAGAATAGGGCTCCACAGCCACATACGGACCCACAAGAACACTGGAAGACAATCATCCTCAGAAAGCGAGGGATCGCCTAAGTAAGTAAGGTTTTGTCGGGCTATATGGTCATGTTCTAGAGGCATTTTCTCCTGACATTTCGCCTGCATCTATGGCAAGCATCCTCAGAGGTAGTGAGGTCTATTGGAACTAGGAAAGTGGGTTTATATATAACTAGTTGTCCCTTGCCAGGCATTGCTGTGGCCCAGTCTGGTGATCTGGAAAATAAATGAGAAAGTGTTGGTTTCTAATATATTTAATTATTTTATGCTTGTGAGTAAACTGTATTTCTTGTTGTTTCTTTGTCAGTGTTGATGTGGAGAGTGTCTGGTTTGCCTACTCTGGAATATTCAACATATCATAGTCCTTCTTTAGGGGTCTCTTTCAAATCTGTGTGTGTGAGAGAGAATCATATCTATCTATATTTATGACTAGTTGGCTCTTTGTCAGGAGAGCTCTGATTACATTTTCTTGCCCTGGTAAAGAGAGTTGGACTGGATGGCCTTAAGTATTTTCTGTTGGTCATGGGGGTTCTGTGTGGGAAGTTTGCCCCATTTCTGTCATTTGTGGGTTTCAGAATGCTCTTTAATTGTAGTGAACTATAAATCCCAGTAACTACAAATCCCAAATGTCAAGGTCTATTTCCTCCAAACTCCATCTGTGTTCATATTTAGGCATATGGAATTTTTTGTCAAGTTTGGTCCAGATCCATCATTGTTTGAGTCCACAGTGCTCTCTGGATGTAGGTGAACTACAACTCCAAACTCAAGGTCAATGCCCACCAAACCCTTCCAGTGTGTTCTGTTGGTCATGGAAGTCCTGTATGCCATGTTTGGTTGAATTCCATCATTGGTGGAGTTCAGAATGCTCTTTGATTGTAGGTGAACTGTTGGTTCATCAGGTGCTCTGCTATGGCTGACTTCTCTGGTTGAAGTAGTCTGCAGTGCCTTTCATGTTCCTTGATTCGTGTTTGGGCAGTGCTGCGTTTGGTGGTCCCTATGTAGACTTGTCCACAACTGCATGGTATACGAACCCCACCTCCTCCAAAATGAACCGAACCACCTAAACTGGGCTCTACAGGCCAATGGACACTCCACCTCAGAGATCAAAAGACCGAGAACAAGCCACGAGAGTCAAGACAAAGATCCAACCAGAGGAAAAGTGTTCTTGTCATACATCAAGGGAACCACTGACCGCATAGGAAAGCTGATGAGGAACACAACATACAAACTATCTACAGACCCACCAAGAAAATCCAACAAGTGCTACATTCAGCAAAGGACAAGAGGGATCCTCTCACTTCTGCAGGAGTCTACCATATACCATGGCAGTATACTTCTATACTGTCATACAATCCAGATTATTAAAGCAGATAATCTGCATTATCTGCTTTGAACTGGATTATCTGAGTCTATACTGCCATATAATCCAGTTCAAAGATGATAATCTGGATTTTATCCGGCAGTGTAGAAGGGGCTATAGAGTCTCAACCAATTCAACACAATTTGTGGCAGCCACAAAAATTAAGTTTCTGGAGTATAACGACTACCCCACAATTAAACAGGAAATAACACTTTCAAACCAGGAACATATTTTTTTTCAAATTTTGTTACATAGTATTATCATTATTATTATTAATATTATTATTACACCGATCTGTCTACAAAGCGCCTTCTAAATACATTTAGTTGAATGCAGATACAGAACTCCATGATGAAGAACTCTGGCTAGGCCTAATTCCTGATCATAAAGGTTTTATAGCTGTATCCAAGCAAATGGAGTAATGAAGTTCTATGAAGACCTTTGTGCTCTGAGCAAGAAGGCCTCTGACATTGCTGGGTGTGTGATCATATTCAAGATGTGGGGCTTGTGCACATGCTGAAGTCCCCATTTAGTTCCCCATATGGTCACCCAAATACTAAGAAGGAAGTTGTGATGACCGGTACAGTGTTTACAAGAAATGAGAAATCCAGGTTAAAAGCTAATTTGTGAGATATTGGCTTCCTCATAAAGTTAGGTCTGCTGCTGCTAGCAATGTATTAGTTCTAGTTGTTTAGTGTAAAATACAGTTTAATAGTGAATTTGGGATATGAACAAAACACATAAGCCAGCAGGGCTTTCTCTTTCTTCAGACTTTTATCCTGTTATTTACCTGGCTGCATTTTCTTATTTTATTTTCCAGCCAAAGGGAAAGGTGGGAACCAAAGGTAAAAAGCAGATATTTGAAGAAAACAAAGATACCCTCAAGTTCTACCTGCGGATCATTCTAGGCGCAAATGTGAGTGTATCTTGCCTGCTGAATAGTTTGCCTGATGTTTGGTCTTGTTTATCCTCAGAAGACAGCCTGTGTCTCTGGGTTTGGGCACAGATAGAGAGATAATAGATCTTCCCAGGCTGAAGTATTTGAGAGCCAGTTCCCAGTAGTTGTAGCATTGTGGCTAGGAAGAGAAGGGTTTTATTTTTGCCAGGAAGGCTATCTTCAGTTTCTGGCTTGCAGTGCATTCCCCATTAAATGTCAGAATGCCTTCAAAGACTGCTACTCTTTTCAAGATGCAAGGAAAGTGAAGTATTTATTTTTACCTGACTCTGCTCCTCACCACATGACAGGTGTGAAAAGGTAAGGAGAGAATAATAATAATAATAATTATTATTATTATTATTATTTATACCCCGCCACCATCTCCACAAAGGGGACTCGGGGCGACTAACATGAGGCCAAGCCCAAAGGTACAATACAGCAAAATAAAATACAGACTGCAGACAACAACAATTACATCAGAATAAAATACATACAGTAGCAAAATAAAATAAATAAAGCACATTGACACAATATAAAATCGAACAGAATGGGCAAGCCGAATGGACAAGGTAAAATGATAAAACCCTGGATGAGGTAGGAATAGAAAATATGTAATTGAGGGGAGCCCAAAAAGGATAAACAGTGAGGTAGGCTTTCAGTTTAGAATGGGGGAAAGTGCATCATAGGGACATGGCACACACACACATTTTATGCGAGAAATCTGGCTTTGGGGTTGAAAGTCTTGAAAAGGCATTTGTAAGATGATTGTCTTTTCCTCTTGACTGACTGTTCAGTTTCTGTGGCACAACATGAAAAATTAGGGTACAAAAATATTTTTTACTTTGAATGCTTTGGTAATAAAGCTTGTATGTGGTGGATGCTTCCTTGTTGGAATGTGAGGCCTTATCTATGCTGCCATTTAATCCAGTTTCTGAATCTAAATTATCTGCTTTAAACTGGTTTATATGGCAGTGTAGACTCATATAATTCAGTTCAAAGCAGATAATCTGGATTCAGAAACTGGATTATGTGGCATTGTAGATCCAGCCCGAGTCTAACTAATGACCAGAGTCAGTGTCATGTACTTGACAGAATACCAGCCTTGGAATCTCAAATATCAGATTCTCCATGGGATCAAACATAGGGCGCCTATGTTCTTTGTTTTTCCTCAGTTGTTTGCTAGTTCAGGAATACTCTCACTGATGTCAGTGGGAGCTTCTTTTCCAGAGAAAATAATAGATTTGGGAGACTGTTCTTTGGTGGTACTAAAACACGGGGGTGATTATATAAGCATTTCAATTCTCTCTGTACGTTTTAATCCCAGCCCTGCTTGTGCCGCCCCATGGCTGCAAGTTAGTGTTGTCATTGTTTTTTAAAACAACTTTAAATATATGCAACATTTAAGTCACGTAACTCATCTGTAGTTTGGCCTTCTGTCATGAAAATCACATTAGGCTTCGAGATTGCCTCAGTCTTAGAATTGTTGTAGAGTTAAAATGGGAAAGGAGATGTAATCAATATACATGCATTTTAACTCTGGAAAATGGACAGAATAACAAAAAATAAATCCCAACTGTGAAATAGTCACTTCATGTGTCTTTGTCGATCTTTCTTGCTTTTTACAAAAACCACTAGCTATCAATAACAATATGAACAACTTGTGTTCTCATGTGTAAGCTTGGTATGAACTTGCCTTTTCTTAAGCTTTGTGTTTGAAGATGAGAAGGTGGCTTTGGGTTTCAATGAACTAACTCTTTCATTTTGACTGTGACTAGACGTTACAGAGATTAGCAATATTACTAAAGGAGATTCAAAGGAGCATGTCTCTTTTCTTCCTTGGTTTTTCTTGGTTTGTGTCCTCATCTTCCTTTTTTACTAGGTTTTGACTTTTGTTTCCTTTGGTTTCAGGCGATTTATGGAATTGTAAACCTTGCGGTTTTCTATGTATCAGCCACTTTCTGGACATGGGTGAGTTCTACATCGCCTTAGATTTTAATCTAAAGGCTTATAATGTCCTTATTATGCTTCACACTGACATGTAAATAGTAATCCACTCCAGAGCCAACCAATATATCCCACCATCTCTGCAAGTCTTCCAAGCAAAGGTGATGTCACAACTACTCTATGAAGCATCCATTTGGTTAACCCCTGGTAACAGTGCCATCAGATCTTTCCACTCAAAATTCCTCCACAAATTATTTGGTGTCCCAAACTGTGTCCCATATGCAGTTCTATGTCTAGAATCTGGCCAATACTCTAGAGAGGCCACTATCTGGCTAAACATCATTAAATTTTGGTTATCTATCCACTACAAAAGTCCCAGCAACACTCTGACCCAACTTACCTTGAGTGAACTCCACCATTCAAAATGGTGCTCAACAGCTCTAGCAAAGATTGGGGAATTGGGCTATGATAGCAACTTCTTGAACTTGCTAACTTTCAATGAGATCTTTACTCTTATTAAAAAGAGCCTGCTAGAAAGGGACTATAACCAACTATTGAGTTTGACCAATAAATCCTGTTCACATATGAACATGGCAATTCCATTCATACAGGGAAACCCAGCCTTTTATATTGCAGTGCTCACTAACCCCTCTTACAGGAGAGTCTACATGCTGGCTAGATTTAATATTATGCCATCTTTGCACCATAGAGGAAGACTCAACGGTCTATCAAGCAATAAGAGGCTTTGTCCCTGTAACACACGACAGCTGGATTCCATCCTGCATATTCTTCTGCACTGCCCACTTTACCAGGATCTAAGATTTAGCTTAATACCACACGTTATAGATTCCTTGAAAAACTATAGTGACTCAGACAAAGTAAATATGCTTTTAAATTGTCAAGATTTTAACTGCTGCCTTTCAGTGGCAAGATTCCTGAATGAAATCTGTAAACGGAATGTGTAGCAAATGTGAAGTTCCTTTTCCCATGATTTGTACTGCATTTTATACCTCTTTGCTATGTATATGCCAATAAAGGCTTATTGGATTGGATATCTGTGGAGTGTCCAGAATGGGGGAGAGAACTCTTGTCTGCTTGAGGCAAGTGTAAATGTTGCAACTGGCCACCTTGATTAACATTTGATGGCCTTGTAGCTTCAAGGTCTAGCTGCTTACTACATGAGGCAATCCTTTGTTTGGAGTGATTAGCTGGCCCTGATTGTTTATTGTCTGAAATTCCTCTGTTTTTGAGTGTATAAAGAACAACACTCAAAAACGGGAATTCCAGACAAGAAACAATTCAAGCCAGACCTTGAAGCTGCAAGGCTAATCAAAGTAGCCAATGGCTGGTAGGCTGTTACGAATTGTTGGAGTTGAAGTCCAAAACACCTGGAGGGCTGAAGTTTGTCCATACCTGCATTAGAGCAATGGTGACACGTTAATTTGTCAACAGCAGACACCCTGTCCGTGTTGTAAATAGGTAGCAGGAGTGATAAAGTCGCAGCGCTCCAGATGTAGAACTGCAGTCCTGTCATTCTTCACAAATAGCTATGCTGGTTCAGTCTGGTGGGAATTCAATTCTAACAAATGGAGGTCCACAAGTTTCCCTCCCATTATCTGTTACGTTTCTAAGTGTTTTGTACTAAGTTAAACTTTTATATTAAGTTTCTAAGTGTTGGGAAAGTTAATTTAAATACAGCAGCTCCCATCAGCCCTTGCCAGCATGGGGCTGGGAGAGTTTGGGGGTTACAGCCAAATATATTTGTTCCTGGTTTTGTGCTTAAGTGCTCTCTGAGTGTTGGGCTAGGGCTCAGCTGCGTTTCCTGGCTGATCTCCATGTTCTTATTGTAGATTGCATTTGTGTTCAGCTTGATTGTCTATCTGGCCAGTTACCGCTCCATGAGCTCCATGGCGAAGGCTACTTTTGCGGAGGATGGCAGTCTTGCCGACGGCGGCGTTGACCTGAATATGGAGCAGGGGATGGCAGAGTGAGTGTCTACCCCACACAAGTCCAGGTGAGCAGGACCTGCTGCCTGAGCACACACACATCTCCCACCTCCTTCCCGTGACGCAGGGGAATATTAAAAGGCCGCAGCATTTATTGGGAACCTGGCTTTCCCAACTTCTTGCTCTACTCAATGGAATACTATCCTTCCTTCTTGTGTTCTCAGGGACCTTCCACACTGCCTTATAACCCAGAATATCAAGGCGGAAAATCCCACAATATCTGCTTTGAACTGGGTTATCTGAATCCACACTGCTATATATTCCAGGTCAAAGCAGATGATGTGGGGTTTTATTCAGCTGTGTGCCATAAAAACCCTGTCCAGGGCTTCTTATTAACATGGAGCGAATGCCTCCTTATTTGTCCTTTTGCTCCAATACCCTTTTCCATTCATTCCCATGACTTCCATACCTTGTTCTTTCTGCTGTATATTTTTCTAGCTGGTGCAAACAGAGTCACTGTAATGGAGAGATCTGACTCTGGCAAAGGAAAAAAATAATAAACATAATATTTAGAATGAGACCTAGGTAAAATAGAATTTAGATTTTGTTTAGCTCTACAGATTACACATTTCTGGGGAGAATTTTTCTTGCTATCTTAATCAATTCAAGTATCTGTGCTATTATTGTATTGTATAGGGAGTAGACTCGTACATTTGTATGGAATGACTATCCATTTCATTTTGTTTCATTCGTTTAGCCCTGTTTTCATTTTTGTTTGCTGCTTCCAAAACAGGGCACCTTTCCAATTATGCGTTTCGTTCAGTATCTGAAAGAATGAAAATTTTTGGACCATTGGCCAACATGGGCTTCCTTCCCACTCCCCTTGCCCTCAGATTTAGGGCTAGAGGAGTGAAAATTGTCACACATGGAGGGCACATCTATGACTCTTTGCCCACCAAGTTTTATAATGTTTGGGTCACCCCTGATTTTTTTTAGGGATTATTTTTCTTTCTATAAATAAAATCTCCTTAAAAGCACGGCATGGTTTGTACTTATATCCTTCATTAGGACCTGGATTAAAAGCATCAGAATTACTTAATGTGGTGAAGTGTAAATTTTTAATTTGCAGTTATATATAATTATAGATAGATGCATTAAAGGGTAAGTATTTAAAATTGTATAACTAGGGGGGATGGAAGCCAGCTCATCTCATGTTGAGCTAGGTTACCATGGAAACAGGGGCGGAGCCAACTACCACTTGGCAGGGCAGCCATTTTGAAGCAGTCAGTCTGTAGTCAGTGAGCTACAGGAGAGGCTGGTTCTAGCGTGTGTTGAGAACCAGTGGGTTGGTCTACAGTCTGTGAACTGTAGGAAAGGCTGATTCTATAGTGAGAGTCAGGAAGGTTTTGGCTTTTAGCCTGAGTAGTTTAAATAAGTCAAGTTGACTTATTTATATTAATAGTTAGTGTATGGGAGAAAGGGTGAGAGAAACCCAGTGAGGATCTCTATTGCAACAGAAACATCACAAAGAAAGAATAAGCTTGTAACTGAAATAATCTATTAAGGGAAGAAACACAGTTTGAAGAAAAATAAGTTTGAAACTTGTTTAGTGGAAGAGTCCTTTCCAGAGTTGTTTAAGAAACGTTAAAAATGTAACCTATGAAGATATGTGCCTCTAAGAGTAAGAAACATTGAAACCATTAGGCTCCTTCTACATTTCAATAAACTTGTTACTGTTTTTCTCTAAAGCCCGGTCTGTGTTACAATTCCTTTCCAAGTTAAGTCACGCTACACATTAAAGAAAGATCAAGTCAATATCACCAGCTATTAGCTACGCTATAAAATTAATAAACCCTTACAAATTGGTGGCTCCTTTACAAATTCTTTACAAATTGGTGGCCTCATTACACTTAAGATTTCACTAATTCTGAGAAGTTTAACTCTCCATCTGCAGAAGAGTAGTGAGTGTAAAGACAAGGCTTAAGATACTGCATGTAATGCTTTCCCCTCAGTCTGCAGAGTGGTGGTGGGTGAAATGAGGCAAGGCAGGCAGCAGGTGAGGCAGATGGCGTTCTTCTCCACTGCTTAGCCTGACAGGCAGGGCTCAGTGGTCTGAAAAGCAGGCAACCAAATGGTTTCTGTTCCTACTTTCCTATTCGTTTTACTGTTTTTCCCGTACCAGAAAGGGGTGTACTGTTTCGTGCCATCCGAATGAACATTACGAAACAAAAACACGAAAGAAACAAATGAGACAAATAAGTGACTAGAAAAGAGAAGAGTGAACAAATTTCATTACATAAACAGTGGCTTAAATGCTGTTCTGTAAGCCACCCCAAGTCCCTTTTTGGGAGATGATGGTGGGATATAAATAAAATTATTATTATTATTATTATTATTATTATTATTATTAAACTCCTTAGAGATTCAAACATTTTGGAATTATTTGTTCATATAATCATACAATATGGCAATAAAGGGAATCTTGAAAGTCTTCTAATCCAGCATTCCTAAAGTTTCCTAAACTTCTCTTTGAGTTTCCCAAAACTCCCCCTCAAGGCAAACGAGTGGAGGGAGCTTCTGAGGACCAGCCTAACCTGGATGTGAAGTTCCAACAGGAGGAAGGGGGTGAGGAGGACATTTCACATGCGGTCTGCATTAAAAGGGCAAGTCAAGTTTAGTTTTTCTGCTGAGTTCTGTACCCGTAGAATTGTTTTCATGTTTGTCTTTAGGCATCTGAAGGATGTGATCTTGCTCACGGCCATAATCCAAGTCCTCAGCTGTTTTTCCCTCTATGTGTGGTACTTTTGGCTCTTGGTAAGTCTCTCCCTCCACTTGTTATTCCATTTATATGCGTTCTTGGTGTCTTATTCTTTTTTCTTCTTAGCAGATAGAAAGAAGAGATTTGTAAAATTGTTTAAATAAAGCTTCTTTCCTTTTCCTAATTCCAAAGATAGGGAAAATGTTGGAGTAACTGATCCTCTGATACTGTCCTAAAAAAGAACAAGAGATTGATAACAAAAAAAGAAATAAAACAAATCTGTGCACAACTTCTGTGATACAGAAAGAGCTAGATGCAGGCTGTCCCCATGTTACAAACGAGATAAGTTCTATGTATTGTCAAAGGCTTTCATGGTCAGAATCACTGGCTTGTTGTAAGTTTTTCGGGCTGAATGACCATGTTCCAGAAGCATTGTCTCCTGATGTTTCACCTGCCTCTATGGCAGGCATCTTTAGAGGTTGTGAGGTCTTTGCAACCTTTGAGGATGCTTGCCATAGATGTGGGCAAAACGTCAGGAGAGAATGCTTCTGGAACATGGCCATGCAGCCCAAAAAGTTACAACAACCCAAGATAGGTTCTGTAGGTTTGTTCTTAAGTTGTATTTGTATGTAAGTCGGGACAGTTATATTTTTAAAGTGTGACTCCAGTCATATAAAGTCATATGTTTGTAACTTGAGGATTGCCTGTGCTCCCCCCCCCCTTTTTTTTCTTTTTTTTTCTTTTAGTTGTAGAAAGGATTTCATTTGGGGACAACGACTGGAATAAGATTCGAGTAAAATGGTCTTTGGGGAAGAAGGGTGGGGTAGAAATGCAAATAATAAATAAATACACAATTTACATTCTCTACATATTCATATTCTCCAGCAATACATGAGTCACCAATTGGCTGAGAAAGGTGATATACAAATACAGTAAATAAATAAAAATAAATAAAATACATGGAACAAGAGTTGCCAGATGCTGGGTTTAGAAAAGGCTGTGGAATGAGAAGCCAAATTGCCAATATCCGTCAGATAATGGAGGAAGGCAGGGAGTTTCAGAAAAACATCTATTTCTGTTTTATTGACTATTCTAATGCCTTTGACTGTGTGGATCATAATAAATTGTGGCACGTTCTTGGTGGTATGGGCATACCAAATCACCTTGTCTCTCTCCTGAGGAATTTGTATTAGGAACCAAGGAACAACAGTAAGAACTGACCATGGAACAACAGACTGGTTCAAGATTGGGAAAGGCGTACGGCAGGGTTGTATACTCTCACCCAACCTATTCAACTTGTATGCAGAACACATCATGCGATGTGCAGGGCTTGATGAATGCAAGGCTGGGGTTAAAATTGCTGGAAGAAACATTAACAACCTTAGATATGCAGATGATACCACTTTGATGGCTGAAAGCAAGGAGGAGCTGAGGAGCCTTCTAATCAAGGTGAAAGAAGAAAGCGCAAAAGCTGGGTTGCAGTTAAACATAAAAAAAATCCCAAGATTATGGCAACCAGAATGATTGATAACAGGCAAATAGACAGAGAAAACATGGAGGCAGTGATAGACTTTGTATTTCTAGGCGTGAAGATGTCTGCAGACATAGACTGCAGCCAGGAAATCAGAAAACGTTTCCCTCTTAGGAGGAAAGCAATGACCAGTCTCAATAAAATAGTGAAGAGTTGAGTCATCATACTGGCAATGAAGGTCCGCATTGTTAAAGCAGTGGCATTCTACTGTAGTAACCTATGGATGCAAGAACTGGACCATAAGGAAGGCTGAGAGGAAGATAGATGCTTTTGAACTGTGGTGCTGGAGGAAAATTCGGAGAGTGCCTTGGACCGCAAGAAGATGAAACCAGTCCATACTCCAGGAAATAAAGCCCGGCTGCTCACTGGAGGGAAGGATATTAGAGGCAAACATGAAGTACTTTGGCCACATAATGAGAAGACAGGAAAGCTTGGAGAAGAGAATGATGCTGGGGAAAATGGAAGGAAAAAGGAAGAAGGGCCAACCAGGGGCAGATGGATGGATGTTACCCTTGAAGTGCCAGCAGGTTGAGGGTGAATCCAGCAAAGATGGAGATCCTATGGCTGGGTCGACCGGGCAGTGGGGATATCCAGCTGCCTACCCTGGATGGTGAGGCGCTACGCCCGTCATCATTGGTCAAGAGTCTGGGAGTCCTTTTGGACCCTCTGCTGACGATGGAGGCCCAGGTCTCCGCCGTTAGCAGAACCGCCTTCTTTCATCTGCGGCAGGCTGGACGGCTGGCCCCCTACCTGTCCAGGGACGACCTAGCTACGGTGATCCAGGCTACGGTCATCTCAAGACTGGACTACTGTAATGCCCTCTACATTGGCCTTCCTCTGTCTGTGATCCGGAAGCTCAAGTTGGTACAAAATGCAGCTGCTCGGCTTCTTGCAGGAATTCCGATGAGATGCCACATAACACCAATCTTACTACAGCTGCATTGGTTACCAATTGAGCACCGGATCACTTTCAAAGTGATGGTACTCACCTTTAAGGCCTTGCATGGTCTGGGGCCGATGTACCTGAGGGACCGCCTCACCCCCTACCAACCCCAGAGATCCCTCCATTCTGAGGACCAAGATCTATTGGAAATTCCCAGTGTCAAGACTTGCGTCTAACAGCAACCAGACGCAGAGCCTTTACAGCAGTGGCACCATCACTCTGGAATACTCTGCCACCTGAAGTCCGTGCCTTGCGGGACTTATCAGCTTTCCGCAGGGCATGTAAGACATACCTGTTTCGACAGGCCTTTGATTGCTGATATAGCAGTTTTTAAATTGTTTTAAATTGTGTTAGATTTTAGTCATTCTTGGAAGCCGCTCCGAGCCCCTGGGGAGTGGCGGCATATAAGTTCGAATAATAAATAAATAAATAAATAAATAAGTGACTGGCTTGACATTGAAGGAGCTAGGGGTGGCCACTGCCAACAGGGAGCTCTGGCATGGGCTGGTCCAGGAGGTCACGAAGAGTCAGGAGCGACTGAACAAATAAACAACAAACATATTTATTAGTATAAGCTTTAATTTAGTGTTCTCCCCCAAATCCTCCAAGCCTTTTGCTGATGTTCAGGGATGGTTTTCTGTAACAAGATTGCTGTATAATTAGAGAAATGATCAGATCTTGTTTGTCTCTTGCAGGCTCCAGGACGAGCGCTCTACCTCCTATGGATTAACATCTTGGGACCATGGCTGACCACAGATCCTTCAGCCACCAACCAGGAGCCCAACGAGAAGAAGCAGCGTCGCCAAGAACGCCGACAGATGAAGCGTTTCTAGCAGAGTTTACGGGTGTGGATGTTGTGCCATGTTTAGTCTCCATGTGGCTGTTTATCAGGGATGATTTTTTAAACCTGGTAAAAAAAAAATCAGGGGCTTCTCTTCCCCAGAACGCAACTCCATAAATAATCTTTTGCCCAAGACCTCATTTCACCAGGCAAATACTAGGCCTTCCATTACTTTTGACAAGGGGCGTGGACTCTGGGAGACCGAAGGTGTGCAAATATCTATTTGAAGAGGCAATATAATATGAGATTGGAAGTTCTGGGGGTTTGAAGATATGACAATTAAAAACAACAACAAATCAACAGAATCTGTGTAAGAGTGCTTTTGAATAGTACTGAATTTATATTAGCAGCATATTTGCCGAATCACATTCTAGGAAGTGATATATGTATAACCAAAATACAAAACAAGCAGCAAGCTAAAACAGTGATTGAAGCCAACAGTCATAAAACAACAGTCACTTCAGGGAAAGGAAAAATTGAAGGATGTTCAAAGTTCATGCTGAAAGTCTGGATGTTCTTTGAGGAGATGGCAAATGCCTAAAGCAGTGTTTCTCAACCTGGGGGTCACAATGGGGTTTCAGAAGGGTCGCCAAAGACCACCAGAAAATGTATTTTTGATGGTCTTAGGAACCCCTTTGGCAGAGAAGGCTGAAGATCTCTCTGCCTGTCCTTCACTTTCTTTTTGGAAACAGACAGGGAATCCTCCCACCAAAAGCCCTCCTCTGTTGTGATGGCCAAGTTCTCAGCCAGCTTCTCGGTAAAGGAGAGGGCTGTTCCTGAGACCCAAGCAGGGAGGGGAGAGCAGGCACGCTAGGCACATGGGTAGGCGGAGGAGAGAGCACAAAGACCAGAGGGAGGCTTGTGCCAGTGAGTTCCTCCAAGGCATGGGGGTTCTGTGTGGGAAGTCTGGCTGAATTCTGTTGTTGGTGGGGTTCAGAATGCTCTTTGATTGTAGATGAACTATAAGTCCCAGCAACTAGAACTCCCAAATGTCAAGGTCTATTTTCCTCAAACCCCACCAGTGTTTACATTTGGGCATATTGAGTATCTGTGCCAAGTTTGGTCCAGATCCATCATTGTTTGAGTCCACAGTGCTCCCTGGATGTAGATGAACCACAACTCCCAAACTCAAGGTCAGTGCCCACCAAACCCAATATTTTGTGTTGGTCAAGGGAGTTCTGTGTGCCAAGTTTGGTTCAATTCCATCATTGGTGGAGTTTAGAATGCTCTTTGATTGTAGGTGAAGTATAAATCCCAGTAACCACAACTCTGAAATGACAAAATCAATCCCCCCCCTCGCACCTGGAAGACATAACCCTTATCTTCAAATGGAAAAGATGTAATTGCAGGGAACAAAACACAATATGGCAGGGCAGAGAGAATCATAGAATCAAAGAGTTGGAAGAGACCTCATGGGCCATCCAGTCCAACCCCCTGCCAAGAAGCAGGAATGTTGCATTCAAATCACCCCTGACAGATGGCCATCCAGCCTCTGTTTAAAAGCTTCCAAAGAAGGAGCCTCCACCACACTCCGGGGCAGAGAGTTCCACTGCTGAACGGCTCTCACAGTTAGGAACACCACGAAGACCCCAGTCTTCTACAGCAAAAGGCTTTAGGTATCAAATTATACAGTCCAGCTCCTTCCTCTTCTTTCTGCCTCCTCGAGTGTTGCCCTCTACAGGTGGAGCCTGTGATGTCTCTGAAGAGAATCCACAAGGAACTGAATGACCTGGCACATGACCCTCCTGCCTAACGTTCAGCAGGGCCTGTTGGAGATAACATGTTCCATTGGCAAGCAACAATAATGAGACCAAATGACAGTCCCTATCAAGGTAGGGTGTTGTTCTTGACAATTCGCTTCCCAACAGATTAGCCCAGGGGTCCTCAAACTACGGCCCGAGGGTCGGATACGGCCCTCCAAGGTCATTTACCCGGCCTTCGCTCAGGGTCAACCTAAGTCTGAAAAGACTTGAAAGCACACAACAACAACAATCCTATCTCATCAGCCAAAAGTAGGCCCACACTTCCCACTGAAAAAGTAATAAGTTTATATTTGTTAAAATTGTTCTTCATTTTAATTATTGTATTGTTTTTAAAGTGTTTTTTGCACTACAAATAAGATACATGCAGTGTGCATAGGAATTCATTCATGTTTTTTTCAAATTATAATCCGGCCCTCCAACATTTTGAGGGACTATGACCTTGCCCTCTGTTGAAAAAGTTTGAGGACCCCTGGATTAGCCCATCAAACCACCTAAGGTTGCATTTACAACAAGAATTTACCATCCAAATATTGACTGTAATGGCAGTATTTGTCTTGATATTCTATGGTCACAGTGGTCTCCAGCGTTAACTATTTCAAAAGTACTTTTGTCCATCTGTTCTCTATCGTGCAATCACAATCCAGACGATCCTTTAGTGCCGGCGATTGCATGAGGGAGATTGCACTGCTGGGGGAATCCTTTGTTGGGAAATGTTAGCTGGCCCTGATTGTTGTTGTTTGTTTATTTATTTCATATACCTTTACCCCACCCTTCTCACTCCCGAAGGGGGACTCAGGGCGGCCTCATAGCAAACACCATTTGGTGCCACCATAATAAGAACAATCAACAGGTCACTCTTCGTGACCTCATGGACCAGCCCACACCAAAAATGGCGAATGCAAGACTGAAGTTAAAATTGCTGGAAGAAACGTTAACAACCTTAGATATGTAGATGATACCACTTTGATGCCCTGATTGGGTAACAGTAAAGGTTTTCCCCTGCCAAAGAGCTGGTGTTTTCTGCAGACACCTCCAAGGTCATGTGGCTGGCTTTACTTACTTAGGATAATCTTCCAGGATCAGTATTCTTGTGGATCCGTAAGTGGCTGCGGAGCCCTATTCTTGACCTGCATCTTCTCCCGCAGTGAGGGCATTGGTTTCCAGGTGGAAGGCGGTCTTGGTCTGGGTTGGCTTGATGCGCCTTCCTCTTGGCACATTTCTCTCTTTCACCCTCAATTCGTACCTCTTCAAATTCTGAAGCACTGCTGGTCACAGCTGACCTCCAGCTGGAGTGCTCAAGGGCCAGGGCTTCCCAGTTCTCAGTGTCTATGCCAGAGTTTTTAAGGTTAGCTTTGAGCCCATCTTTCAATCTCTTTTCCTGTCCACCAGCATTCCATTTTCCATTCTTGAGTTCGGAGTAGAGCAACTGCTTTCGGAGATGGTGGTTGGGCATCCAGACAACGTGGCCGGTCCAGGGGAGTTGATGGCGGAGGACCATTGCTTCAATGCTGGTGGTCTTTGCTTCTTCCAGCACACTGACATTTGTCCGCTTTTTGGAGACGGCGCTGATGGAATCGTTCCAGGAGTTGCACGTGACATCTGTAGACTGTCCATGTCTTGCAGACATATAGCAGGGTTGGGTGGACAATAGCTTTGTAAACAAGCATCTTCCTACGGATGTCCCGGTCCTCAAACACTCTGCTTCATTCGGAAGAATGCTGCACTCACAGAGCTCAGGCGGTGTTCTATTTCGGTGTCGATTGTGACTTTGGTGGAGAGGTGGCTGCCAAGGGAGCGGAAATGGTCAACATTTTCTAATGTTACACCATTAAGCTGTATCACTGGCATTGGGGAGGGGATGGCTGGTGACTGCTGGAAGAGCACTTTGGTTTTCTCGATGTTCAGTGACAGGCCAAGCTTCTCGTATGCTTCTGCAAAGGTGTTTAGAGTGGCTTGTAGATCTTCTTCTGAATGCGCACAGTCGACATTGTCATCAGCATACTGGAGTTCCATAACAGATGTTGTAATAGGCAGTAAGCGCACCTAGAGCTTCGGAAAGCTTCTGTTCAACCATCTCAAAGCTCCCTGCTTGAGCGGTGATGGCGCGATCATCAGCATAGATGAAACTCTCTGTCCCTTCTGGCAGTGGCTGGTCATTTGTGTAGATGTTGAACATGGATGGAGCAAGTTTTTTTCCCTGATTGATTCTGTTCTCTTGGAGGGAAGGCCTGTCTTTTGTGGTCAGAGACGCTATGCCGGCCGCCTGCCAGCAGGGGGCAGCCGTCTCCCGGCTGAGCTTTTTGCTCTGGGAAGGAAGGGGCGTGGCTTGGAGGGAGGAGGCGTGGCTCGGAGGAGGAAGGAGGAGCGTGGCTGTGGGCCTGGCTGTCGCCATGGAGACGGGCCCGCGGCCTGACCCGCGCCCCGGGGCCTCCGCTCCGCTCGGGCCGCCGTGAAGAAGGGCAGCCGCCATCGCCCTCCCGCTCTCGGGCATGAGGCGGAACGTGGCCGCAGGGAGACACCGCAAGCTGTGGGAAGGTGAGGAGGGGCCTCCGGGAAGCGGGCCTCGGCCTCCAAGCCAGACCCTCCCTAGAGTGAAGAGCGGGGGGAGACCACAGGAAGTGAGAGGACGCTCCCCCACAGAAGGAAGGAAGGGAACCCCACACGAATGTTCCCTCATCCCTATGCTATCCAAAGCTAACGCGCGTATATATACTAGCTGTTCCCCTGCCACGCGTTGCTGTGGCCCACATGGGGGTTCTGTGTGGGAAGTTCAGCCCAATTCTATCGTTGCTGGGGTTCAGAATGCTCTGTGGATTGAAGGGGAACTGTAAATCCCAACAACTACAACTCCCAAATGTCAAGATTCTATTTTCCCCAAACTCCACCAGTGTTTACCTTTATTTATTTTATTCAAAAGTTTTGTATACCGACCTTCTCACCTCTCTTGAGGGACTCAGACCGGTTTCCAACCATAATATCACATACAGTCAATAAAACATCATAATTCATATTACAATAGAACATTAAAACAGCAATTACATTCAATAAATACAATGGTCAGTTGTCCCACTAAAATCGGTGTTCATCCTCCTACATCCATATCTCAGGGTGTTGACTCACTCGTCGAATGCCTGTCTCCATAACCACGTCTTCACCTGCTTCCTGAATGTCAGGATAGACAGGGCGGTTCTGATCTCCAGTGGGAGAGAGTTCCAGAGTCGAGGGGCCACCATCGAGAAGGCCCTGTCCCTCGTCCCCACCAGACACGCTTGCGAGGCCGGTGGGACCAAGAGCAGGCCTCTCCAGACAATCTTAATAATCTTGATGGTTCATAGGGGAGAATATGTTCAGAGAGGTAAACAGGTCGGAGTCGTTTAGGGCTTTATAGGTTAACACCAGCACTTTGAATTGTGCTCGGAAGCTAATTGACGGCCAGTGGAGCTGGTGTAACAGCGGAGTGGTGTGCTCCCTGTACCCAGCACCCGCTAGTAGTCTGGCTGCCGAGCGTTAGACTAACTGCAGCTTCCGGGCAGTCTTCAAAGGCAACCCCACGTAGAGAGCGTTGCAATAATCTAAGCAGGATGTAACCAAAGCGTGGACCACCATGGCCAAGTCACACTTCCCAAGGTACGGGCGCAGCTGGCGCACAAGTTTTAATTGTGCAAAAGCTCCCCTGACCACCGCCAAAACCTGGGGCTCCAGGCTCAGCAATGAATCTAGGAGAACTCCCAAACTGCGAACCTGCACCTTCAGGGGAAGTGTAACCCCGTCCAGCACAGGCTGTAACCCTATACCCTGTTTGGCCTTGTGGGCATATTGAGTATTCGTGTAGAATTTGGTCCAGATCCATCATTGTTTGAGTCCACAGTGTTCTCTGGATGTAGGTGAACTACAATTCCAAAACCAAAGGACACCGCCCACCAAACCCTTCCAGTATTTCCTGTTGGTCATGGGAGAAATGTGTGCCAAGTTCGGTTCTATTCCATCGTTGGTGGGGTTCAGAATGCGCTTTGATTGTAGGTGAACTATAAATCCCAGCAACTACAACTCCCAAATGACAAAATCAATTTTTTTTAATGAAGGACATACATTGGATTGTTAGGAGTCTTGTGTCCAAATTTGGTGTCAATTCCTCCAGTGGTTTTTGAGTTCTGTTAATCCCACAAACAAACATTACATTTTTATTTATATACTAGCTGCACCCACCACGCGTTGCTATGGCCAACCTTTCCTCCCTCTTCCTCTCCTCTTTTCTTTCTCTCCTTCCTTCCTTCCCTTTTTTTCTTTCATTCTCTCCTTCCTTCCTTCTCTTCTTCTTCCCTCCCCCCCCCCTTCCCTTCCTTTTTCTCCCCTTTCTTCCTTCTCTCTCTATTCTTGGACTGCAACTCCCAGCAGACCTCCTGATCAATCTATCTACCTCTCTGTCTGTCTCCATCTAATCGTCCAGCTGAGCTCTTTCGAGTTGTCAGGGGTCTGTTAAATCCACCGAAAAGCGAGATCCCTGACAGCTCTGGAGCTCGCTGTGAAGCGTTTGCTCGATTCTTCGCAGATAAAATTGTGCGGATTCGGTCGGTTTTCGACACCACTTTACCTGCAGTCTCTGAGAATGTGACGAGAGCATCTGCTTGTCAGGTTTTATTGGATTCATTTCAATTGGTTCAGCTTGAGGATGTGGACAGGATCCTTGGAGAGGTGCGACCCACCACATGCATCCTAGACCCCTGCCCATCCTGGCTGATAAAAGAAGCCAGAGGGGGGTTGGCAGAGTGGGTGAAGGTGGTGGTTAATGCCTCCTTACAGGAGGGCAAGATTCCAGCGAGCTTAAAACAAGCTATTATCAAACCGCTGTTGAAAAAACCATCACTGGACCCCACTCAATTAGACAACTATCGGCCAGTTTCCAATCTCCCCTATTTGGGCAAAGTCCTGGAACGTGTGGTGGCAGCACAACTCCAGGGATTTCTGGTAGACACTGATTATCTTGATCCGGCACAGTCTGGCTTTAGACCGGGACATGGAACGGAAACAGCCTTGGTCGCCTTGGTAGATGATCTTCGCAGGGAGCTGGACAGGGGGAGTGTGTCCCTGTTAGTTCTGCTGGACCTCTCAGCGGCCTTCGATACCGTCGATCACGGTATCCTTCTGGGACGCCTCATAGACATGGGTCTCGGGGGTACTGCTTTGCAGTGGCTCCAGTCATTTCTTGAGGGACGGTCCCAGAAGGTGTTACTGGGTGACACCTGTTCGGCCCCACAACCGTTGTCGTGTGGAGTCCCACAGGGTTCGATTCTGTCCCCAATGTTGTTTAACATCTACATGAAGCCGCTGGGAGAGATCATTCGGAGTTTCGGACTGAGATGTTATCTCTACGCAGATGATGTCCAGATCTGTCACTCCTTCTCACCCGTCACCAAGGAGGCTGTCCAGACCTTGAATCGGTGTCTAGCTGCTGTGTCGGACTGGATGAGAGCTAACAAATTGAAATTGAATCCAGACAAGACAGAGGTCCTACTGGTCAGTCGTAAGGCCGAACAGGGTATAGGGTTACAGCCTGTGCTGGACGGGGTTACACTCCCCCTGAAGACACAGGTCCGCAGCTTGGGAGTGATCCTGGACTCATCGCTGAGCCTGGAACCCCAGGTCTCAGCGGTGGCTGGGAGAGCTTTTGTGCAATTAAAACTTGTGCACCAGTTGCGCCCGTACCTCGGGAAGTCTGATCTGGCCACGGTGGTCCACGCTCTTGTTACATCCCGAATAGACTACTGCAACGCTCTCTACGTGGGGTTGCCCTTGAAGACTGTTCGGAAACTTCAACTAGTCCAGCGAGCGACAGCCAGACTGCTCACAGGAGCGACATACAGGGAGCACACCACCCCCCTGCTGTGCCAGCTCCACTGGCTGCCGGTTCAGTTCCGAGCACAATTCAAGGTGCTGGTTTTGACCTACAAAACCCTGTACGGTTCCGGTCCAGTGTATCTGTCTGAACGTATCTCCCTCTACGTCCCACCCTGGAATCTGAGATCATCTGGGGAGGCCCTGCTCTCGACCCCACCACTCTCACAAGTGTGCACTCCGGCAATTAAATCAGACCATCAGGCGAGTAAGACCAGCAGGATTGATGAAGTGGAACGTAAAACTAGATCTATGAGTTAGCGAACGCTGACCAGGTAAAAGGAGAAATTGGGTTTGTATTGGTTTTTATTGATTTTATTGATTTTATGTTAATAATGTATGAATTTTTTGTTAACTGTGTTCTGATGTAATTTTGTGTATTTTGTGTATGATTGTTTTATGATGCAGGCATCGAATTGTGCCTTTGCTTTTGTAAGCCGCCCTGAGTCCCCCTCCGGGGTGAGAAGGGCGGGGTATAAGAACCCCAAATAAATAAATAAATAAATAAATAAATAAATATCTTATCTATCTGGAGGATTGCTGGGAGTTGCAGTCCAGGAAGAGGAAATTGGAAATATGCAGGGATTGGGATGCTCTCAAAGAAATCCAAGGAGAAGAATCTTGCAGCTTGGAAGCAGTGCATTTGGATCCTCCTCCTCTCTTAAAGGGCCTGGTCTAGGGGATGCTGGGAGCTGTAGTCTGGAAGAGAGTGTGGATATGCTGTTGTGTGTTTTGTTTACCGGGGGGAGTCGTTTCTGTGCATGCTCTGCAGCGTCAAACCAACCTGCACACTCTCTCAGGCATGGGCAAACTTGTGCCCTCCCTCCAGGGGTTCTGGACTTCAACTCCCACAATTCCTAACAGCATCATGCCCTTTCCAAGCGGCTGAAGGAGGAAAGGATAGGGCCTGAGGCTGTTAGGAATTGTGTAAGTCCAAAACTTATATTGCTTACATTGTTTCTGTGGCAGCTCCGTCCATATCAGCTTGCAATAGCACATCTGTTTCCATTTGAATTAATTGTAGTTAATTTGGGGGGAGAAGGATGGGGTATAAATATAGGAAATAAATAGTTTGAGGGAAAGCCTTAGAGCTTACTTGACCTTCATAGGTATGACAGGACAGTATACCATTCTAAGAAAAGTAATATAACATTTCCAATAATCACGCTTTCTTTCCAATAACTGGTTTTATTGAAAGCATTCAAACTTTTTTTAAAAACCCACTCTCTTAATGTTATTTTCAGTATGTTATAATCCTTTTAATATTTGTTGAATGCATTCATGGACAGAAGAGAAAACTGTTGGACTTATGAAAACACTTTAAGAGCTTCATGATTGGATTAAAGGGTGCCTGAGCTGTGAAACCGAGGCTATCGTCTTGAGGTTGGGGTAAGAGAAACTTATGTGATTTCCGGAACTTTTATAATGTAATAATAATACTTTATTTGCACCCCACCCTATCTCCCCAGGGGGACTCAAGACAATTTTTCTTGTCTTTCAGCTGACTTGAGGTCATTTAGATCTAAATGTTACATTCATCTCATGTTTTAAAATTTTCTTATGAGGTTTCTGTTGATTTGCCATGTGCATTCATCTATGTCTTGAATCTTCCACTGTTTATTTCAGGAATTCATGTGGCATAATATTGCATTGTAAGTGGAATATTTATATTATGTTTCCATGGCAGTTATTTTATCAGTTTAAACTGCTTGTAATAATATTATCTATGGGCAGGTGGAACATTTAAAATGCTACTGTTAAAAAGTTGGAATACAGTAATATTTAGTTAGATTCATAGGCAGAATATTTAAACTTTTTCTATTAATATCAGTTGTGGGTAGGTGGAATAATTGAATGGGAAAAATAATAAGAAATTATATTTAAAAGTGTAAATTATATTTAAAAACATGATCTTTCATGTTTAATCAAAAAGTTAAATCTGGGGAATCATAAAGTTGGAAGAGACGTTGTGGGCCTTCAAGTCCAACCTCCTGTCAAGAAGCAGGAAAATCGCATTCACAGCACCCTCAACAGATGACCATCCAGCCTCTGTTTAAAAGCCCCCAAAGAAGGAGCATCCACCACACTCCAGGGCAGAGAGTTCCACTGCTGAACAGTTCTCACAGTCATGAAGTTCTTCCTAATGTTCAGATGGAATCTCCTTTCTTGTAGTTTGAAGCCATTGTTCCGTGTCCTAGTTTCCAGGGCAGCAGAAAACAAGCTTACTCCCTATTGTTTCCTCTCACATATACATGGCTATCATGTCTCCTCTCAGCCTTCTCTTCTTCAGGCTAAACATGCCCAACTCTTTAAGCCGCTCCTCATAGGGCTTGTTCTCCAGATCATCTTAGTCGCTCTCCTCTGGAAGCATTCCAGCTTGTCAACATCTCCCTTCAATTGTTGTTGTTATTATTATTATTATTATTATTATTATTATTATTATTATTATTATTAATTGTGGTGCCCAAAATTGGATACAGTGGTCTAACCAAGGCAGAATAGAGGGGTAGCATGACTTCCTTGGATCTAGACACTATACTTCTATTTATACAGGCCAAAATCCCGTTGGCTTTTTTGCCGCCGCATCACATTGTTGGCTCATGTTTATCTTGTTGTCCAAGATCTTTTTCACACGTACTGCTGTTGAGCCAGGAGTCCCCCATTCTGTACCTTGGCATTTCCTTTTTTCTGCCTATGTAGAGTATCTTGCATTTGTCCCTGTTGAACTTCATTTTGTTAGTTTTGGCCAATCTCTCTAATCTGTTAAAATCGTTTTGAATTCTGCTCCTGTTTTCTGGAGTATTGGCTATCCCTCCCAATTTGGTGTCATCTGCAAAGTTGAGGATCATGTCTTCTAACCCTTCATCTAAGTCATTAATAAAGATGTTGAACACGACCAGGACCAGGACGGAACCCTGCTCATGGCACTCTGCTTGTCACTTCTTTCCAGGATGAAGAGGAAGCATTGGTGAGCACCCTCTGGGTTCGTTCGCTTAACCAGTTACAGATCCAGCTAACCGTAGTTTTGCCTAGCCCACATTGGACTAGTTTCCTTGCCAGAAGGTCATGGGGGACCTTGTCGAAAGCCTTACTGAAGTCCAGATATGCTACATCCACAGCATTCCCTGCATCTACTCAGCTTGTAACTCTATCGAAAAAAGAGATCAGATTAGTCTCGCATGACTTGTTTTTGATAAATCCGTGTTCACTATTAGCGATGACCGCATTAGTTTCTAAGTATTTACAGACCACTTCCTTAACAAACCTTTCCAGAATCTTGCCTGGTATCAACGTGAGGCTAACCGGACGGTAATTGTCTGGGTCATCCTTTTTTCCCTTCTTGAAGACTGGGATCACATTGGCCCTCCTCCAATCTGCTGGGACTTCTCTTGTTCTCCAAGAACTCTCAAAGATGATTGCCAATGGTTCCGAGATGACTTCCGCTAGTTCCTTCGATACTCTTGGGTGTAGTTGATCTGGCCCTGGTATTCCTGGACAACTTATTTACCAATTTGGGGTTGGATGTCCTCTAATCCCTCATCCACTCCATCTTGCTGAGGTTGAAGATGACTTTCTTTTTGTGAGAAGACCAATGCAAAGAAGGCATTAAGTAGTTCTGTCTTTTCCCTATCCCCTGTCAGCATTGCACCATCTTCTCCTCAAAGAGGCCCTATCACCTCCTTCTTCTTTCTTTTTCTACTGATGTAAGAAAAGAAGCCCTTTTTATTGTTTCTAATGTCCCTGGCAAGCCTGAGCTGGTTTTGTGCTTTAGCTTTGCGAACCTTTTCCCTACAGGAGTTGGCTATTTGTTTGAATTCTTCTTTGGTGATTTCTCCCTTTTTCCACTTCTTGTTCATGTCTCTTTTGAATCTTAGCACAGTTAGAAGTTCTTTGGACATCCAGATAAGATATAATTAATTTCATTCGAATAAGATAAGATAAAATTAATTTCATTTGAAAAGGGATGAAATTGGGGAAGACTAAGATAATAATTTAAAGACTTGAAAATCTATAAGACTTGAAAATTTAGTAAAAGTGCATAACATTTTGATATGAATATTACTCGTGGTTGTGTATTTATGTTAAATATGTTTTATGATTAGCAGAAAAGTAATCAAACGCAACAAAAAGTATGTGCAATAATTTGATATTTGCCTTGGGTTGATGAAGAGAAAATCCATTGTGTTTTTAATGATTTTTGTTTTGTTTTGTTTCTTAATTTTTGTTCTATCTAGGTAGGGACAGTGGGTTGGCATATTTTGATTTGGAATTATGTGTCATTTTGGTTGTTGTCTTTTTAGCATATAATAAAATGAAATAAAAAAAATACAAGTATGGAATTCAGATATGTGACATTGCTATTTGTGTGATTTTTACAGATTTTTCTTTTATTGTAGAAGATTTGCCACTGTAACTTTGCCTTCTGAAATTCTTTAAAATTGGCATTTTCAGCAACTCATTTTAATTGAGGGCTCTTTTTCTTTTTTCTTATGGCAGATGAACATCTGCAGGAAACCACCCAACAAAACAGCCCCAGAGAAGAGTGACGAAGCGGCTCTTGAGGTCTATCCGCAGGAAGCCCGGAGAAATGGCTGGAGCTGGCCTCCCCATCCCTTCCAATTCCTTGCATGGCTGCTGTACTTCTTTTTTGCCCTCGTGGGCTTTGGCATCCTTGTGCCGCTCCTGCCTGTTCACTGGGTCCCTGCTGGATATATTGTATCCTTATGTCCTCAATTGTCAGTGTTCATTTGTAAGCACGTTCCTCAGGGATGTGATGATCAGTCATATGCAAATGATATTGTCAAAGGTGTTTATTTTGATGTAATTGTCTGTATGGTTTCTTTCCAGCAATTGAATGTTTGCCTACGTGTTGGAAACCCATCCTGAGTCCCTTTGGGGAGATAGGGCTGTATACAAATAAAGATGATGATGATGATGATTATTATTATTATGGAGCCCCCCGTGGCGCAGTGGGTTAAACCCTGTGCTGGTAGGACTGAAGACCGACAGGTCGCAGGTTCGAATCTGGGGAGAGGTGGATTAACTCCCTCTATCAGCTCCAGCTCCTCATATGGAGACATGAGAGAAGCCTCCCACAAGGATGATGAAAACATCAAATCATCCAGGCATCCCCTGGGCAACGTCCTTGCAGACGGCCAATTCTCTCACACCAGAAGTGACTTGCAGTTTCTCAAGTCGCTCCTGACACAACAAAAATTATTATTATTGTTGTTGTTGTTGTTACTAAATGATGGAGAACATGTAGTAATATATCTGTCATTGCAGACTGCTTTTCCTGACTGTAGGATTGTTAACATTTGAAGCATTATGTTATGCTTCTATAAGTAATATATTTATGCTTAGAATAATAGAATTGGAAGAGACCACATGGGTCATCTAGTCCAACCCCTGCCATGCAGGAAAAGCACTCCCGAGAGATGTCCATCCAAGGAAGGAGGCTCCATCACACTCCAAGGCAGAGTTACACTGCTGAACTGCTCTTATAGTCAGGACGTTCTTCCTAATGTTCATGTGGAATCTCATTTCTTGTAATTTGAATCCATTGCTCCATATCCTAGTCTTCAGGGAAGCAAAAAGCAAGCCTGCTCCCTCTTACTTATGACATCCTTTCACATATTGGTACATGGCTCTCATGTCTCCTCTTGCCCTTTTCTTCTGAGGCTACATATCCCCAGGTCTTCAAGTCATTCCTCAGATGAATTAATGGTCTCAAGACCTTTGGTAATCTTAATCACCTGGCTCTAGACACCTCCCAGCTTGTCAGTATAATAATAATAATAATAATAATAATAATAATAATAATAATCTTTATTTCTATACTATCTCCCCTAGGGGACTCAGGGCGGTTTACAAAGAAAACTGGCAAACATTCAATGCTGGCATAACATAACAAACAAATCAAATCATAAACAATAAAATAAACAACATCAGGTGTACTTATAGAACAACTCAAAAATAACAAACTTAGATATTTAAATATATAAATCAAACATTTAGAACATGTTTAGTACTAGATCTAATGATAGCAAACACTCAAAACATTAAAAGTAAAAAGGCATTTACAAGTCAACAGGGCTGAGGTGGTGTCCCAAGTCAGAGTGATTAAGGTGCTGGCCGAAGAAAATTATATTGCACAATTCCACAAGTTAAAGAGGACCTATAAGGGTCTAGTTCTTGGCTCATGTTCAACCTGTTGTCCATTAAGACATGGTACTTGTGCCGTATTGATGTCTGTTTTACTTTTTTACATGAATAGTTATTTTTACCTGTAGAGCTAGTTGGTGAAAAAAGCCTTTGGAATTTTTTTAACTGAAATGATTTAAAATTGATGTTGTGTTCTTGTGAAGAGGAGCTTGAAAGGTAGCAATCAGTGAATTCACAGAAAGAGTCCTTAACTGTACCTATATCAGTGTCCTGGAATATTTTTTCTCTGCCACCTAATTGTTCATCTTACAGCCGTGTCTATTGACCCAGCCGATGACAGCGTGCGGCAGAAGAATTACAAGGGGCCACTGGCTGCATTCAGTCGGAGCCAGCATTCTCATGTCATTGAAAACCGTCACTGTCACATCTGTGATGTTGATGTGCAAGTATTTTTTAAGTCATACCCTTGTTTGTCCTATGAGCTTAAAGGACAGTTAGTATTGAAAATATCAGGTGAAGCATGCAAGAGCCATAAAAGTTGTGCAATAAGATCTTATCATTGTTTACTTGCACCTTGAGCAGTTAGGGAACTAGGAATTCCCTGAGCTGATGCTATAAACATGTTGACTAAATATCTCATAAAGAAATCCATTTTCGTTTAACTTCTCCAATTATAGTTATGCAAAGAATATCACTATGTGTTGTCGAAGGCTTTCATGGCAGGAATCACTGGGTTGCTGTGAGTTTTCTGGGCTTTGTGGCCATGGTCCAGAAGCATTCTCTCCTGATGTTTCGTCCACATCTATGGCAGGCATCCTCAGAGGTTGTGAGGTCTGTGGGAAGCTAGGCAAGTGGTTTATATATCTGTGGAATGTCCAGGGTGGGAGAAAGAACACTTGTCAGCTTGAGGCAAGTTTGAATGTTGCAAATGGCCACCTTGATTAGCATTTAATGGCCTTGCAGCTTCAAAGCCTGGCTGGGTGATGCCTGGGGCAATCGTTTATTGGGAGGTGTTAGATCCCAATAAGGCCGCCCTGAGTCCCCCCTCGGGGGTAAAAATATAAATAATAAATAAAATTAGCGGGCCCTGATTGATTCTTGTGTGGATTTCCCCTTCTATTTGAGTGTTGCTCTTTGTTTCCTGTCCTCATTTTAGACTTTTTAAAATACCAGTAGCCAGATTTTGTTCATTTTCATGGTTTCCTCCTTTCTGTTGAAATTGTCCACATGCTTGTGGATTTCAATAGCTTCTCTGTGTAGTCTAACATGGTGGTTGTTCGAGTGGTCTAGCATTTCTGTGTTCTCAAATAATATGCTGTGTCCAGGTTGGTTCATCAGGTGCTCTGCTATGGCTGACTTCTCTGGTTAAATTAGTCTGCAATGGTTTTCATGTTCCTTAATTTGTGTTTGAGCAATGCTTCTGCATTTGGTGGTCCCTATGTAGACTTGTCCATAGCTGCATGGTATATGGTAGACTCCTGCAGAGGTGAGAGAATCCCTCTTGTCCTTTGCTGAACATAGCATTTGGGGAATTCCAGACAAGAATCAATCAGGGCCAGCTAACAGCTCCCAATAAATGACCCCCCCCCCCAGGCAGCAACCAGCCAGGCATTAAAGCTGCAAAACCATTAAATGCTAATTATGGTGACCAATTAAAACATTCACACTTGCCTCAAGGAGAAAAGAGTTCTTTCTCCCACCCTGGACATTACACAGATATATAAACCTTACTTGCCTAGTTTCTAGCAGATCCCTCAACCTTTGAAGATTTATTATGTCAGGGGCAGACCAAACAGTTGCAGTGCATTTTTTAACAAACAAACAAACAAAACACAAAGTTTGCAAGCTTGGTAGTTGAATAAATGTCATTTGACCAGTAGCTAGCCACTTGGAGTGCCTCTGGTGTTGCTGCAAGAAGTTCCTCCATTGTGCATGTAGCAGGGCTCATGTTGCATTGCAGCAGGTGGTCTGTAGTTTGCTCTTCTCCACACTCACATGTTGTGGTTTCTACTTTGTAGCCCATGTCTTAAGGTTGGCTCTGCATCTCGTGGTGCCAGAGTGCAGTCTGTTCAGCACCTTTCAAATCGCCCAGTTTTCTGTGTGCTCAGGAGGAAGTCTCTCATTTGGTATCAGCCATTGATTGAGGTTCTGGGTTTGAGCCTGCCACTTTTGGACTCTCGCTTGCTGAGGTGTTCCAGCGAGTGTCTCTGTAGATCTTAGAAAACTATTTCTTGATTTAAGTCGTTGACGTGCTGGCTGATACCCAAACGGGGTGGGCTGGAGATGTCACTGCCTTGGTCCTTTCACTATTTCACCTTTGAAGATGCCTGCCATAGATGTGGGCAAAATGTCAGGAAAGAGTGCTTCTGGAACATGGCCATACAGCCTGGAAAACTCACAGCTGCCCAATATCACTATGGCAGTGGTTCTTTTCATGTCGGCATAGTTCTGTGTTACTTCTTTTCTTCAATACAGAAGCTTTTCCCAAATTTTATGACAGTGGCACCACTGTCTTGTACTGGTAGCATCGATAATACTGAGAAGGGACACTTCTTTTTGTTTACTAGGCATGTGCAATCCATGCTCCAAAATGGTTCTAAAGTACTTACAAAACTAAAGTTCTGGTGGTGAAAACTAGGGGGTGCTGGTGCATTGCTTCTACAGTGTTGCTAAAGTTCTGGTGGTGAAAATTTTAGAACTCTAACAAAACTTCGAAAATTTCATTATAAATGGCAGTTCCTAATTGGTTCTGTCATAAAAATCATCAATAATGAAATAATAATGAAATTTTGCAAGTTTTTTTTAAAGTTCTGAAATTTTGTAAGTACTTTAGAACCATTTAGAAGCATGGATTGCACATGCCTATTGTTTACCCAGTGGACTGCCCTGTGCTAATGATTCTGTTATTGTCTAAAATGAAGTTTTGCAAATACGCTGGCCTCAACCAAAGAAGGCAACATTAGTTAAGAGCGCAACTATAGTGCAATCCTCTACTTTTTGTTGGGATGTGGATTATACCAAATATATGAATAGGCTTAATTGAAAGAGAAAGTGAATATATGGAATCAGTCTTCAATTCCAGCATGCTACACTGACATACATTTTTCATCGTGTTGTAAGCATATAATGTAGCTGGAGTTTATGAAAGTTACTTTTTGGGTTGTAAACCCCAGAATCTCCAACCAAAATGGCTTGTGGTAGTTATAGCCCCCAAAATTGTGTTTCTGTACTGGGGTTTAGAACACATGTAGACTGTCATTTGCTCTGATCTGTTTCTTAAAGTCTAGATTAACATGAACCTTTCATTCTTACTGTTAGGAGCTCGAGATCAAAGCACTGCGGGACCTGCAACAAATGTGTGTGTGGATTTGACCATCACTGCATGTGGCTCAACAATTGTGTGGGACAGAGGAACTATTGGTATGGACTGTTGACATCTCCTTATTGACTCACACAGGCAAACTTTCTATGCAATAGAATCATCTATGTGTATTGTTTTACTGTGTACTTCAGCTACTTCAAGACTTGTTACTGGCTTTCTGCTTTAATAAGCTACATATTACTACATGACGCACAGGAAATACATTTAAAATAAAATTTGTATTTACAGTTAAGAGGAGCACAGATTAGAATTTATAGAGCCAAACAATGGGGACCTTTGACTCAGGCTAGGACAAGTGGACATTCAGTTGATTTTCTTGGTCTGTTATATTTGGCTTTTGAAAACTAAGTTTTCTGTTTGTTTAATAATCCTGGAATAAATTTTGTCTGTTGTAATTCATCTTGACTTCAGTATCCCAGGTCAAATACAATATTTGATAAAGTGTTACTCCAGTGTTGTTGCACACACTGTGTTTCCCTGAAAATAAGACAGAGTCTTAATATTAATTTTTGCTCCAGAATACGCATTAGGGCTTATTTTCAGGGGATGTATTATATTTTCAACTTTCATTTATTCATGTACAAAAATGTACATTTATTCAAATAGAGTCATGTCTTCTGGGACATCATCATAATATTATATCATTTTTTTTTCATGTCAGGGGTGACTTGAGAAACTGCAAGTCGCTTCTGATGTGAGATAATTGGATGTTGTTTAGGGGGCGTTTTACCATCCTGTGGGAGGCTTCTCTCATGTCCCTGCATGAGAAGCTGGAGCTGACAAATGGGAGCTAACCCCACCTCTGGATTCTAACCGCCGACCTTTGGTCAGCAGTCCTACTAGCACAAGGGCTTAACTCATTGTGCCACGGAGGCACCATTAGATCAATAATATTATTTATTTATATTTTATTATATCTTAATATTATTTTATAATTCAATACACGTTTGGCGGGGACGAGGGTCAGGGGCCTTCTCGTTGGTAGCCTGTGGAATTCGCTTCCCGTGGAAATTAGGTCATCGTCATCCCTCCTCACCTTTAGAAAGAAAGTAAAAACGTGGTTGTGGGATGAGGCCTTCGGGCAATTAGGTTAAAGAACTATTGATGATGTTTGACTATGGCTTTGAAGTGGATTTGGATAAGTTTTTTAATTGTTATATTTGCTATTTTGTATTTTATGATGCGGCATTGAATTATTGCCAGTTGGAAGCCGCCCTGAGTCCTCCTAGGGGTTGAGAAATAAATGCTCGAAATAAATAAATAAATAAATGCATCCGTCATGTGTTAAAACAGATGTACTACCGGTAAATACCTCCTTCTGGCTGACGATTTAAGCTGGGCTTGTTCTGGGAGGTAGAGCTTATATTGCGAGCATCCTGAAAATTCATGCTAGGGCTTACTTTCCAGTTAGATTTTATTTCCAGGAGTATGTGTTCCTCTGGGCTTTGTGCTCATTCTTTTTGTTCCTGAGCCTAACCAGCAATGTAATACTCAAATCAGGCAGGAGCATAACCATGATAGCATACTTTAAGCCAGGCATGGGCAAACTTTGGCCCTCTAGGTGTCGTGGACTTCAACTCTCACAATTCCTAACAGCTGGTAAACAGGCTACGATTTCTGGGAATTGAAGTCCAAAACAAGGAGGACTGAAGTTTGCCCATGTTTTCTTTAGGCAGTCATGTGGTCCTATAGATATAGCACATAGATTATAATCCTGTATCAGTTTTCGTAACATCCAAACTTTTTCTATTAAGCATTTTGCTAAAACAGAACTAAGGATTCTTCTGCTTTTTTGGCAGGCTCTTTCTGAACAGTGTGATATCTGCCATCCTTGGCCTTCTCCTAATCCTGCTAGTCGCTTTCTACGTCTTTGTGGAGTTTTTCCTTAACCCTATGAGGTTGCGCACGGACCAGCACTTTGAAGGTATCAGACTGCAATCTGTCAGGGGATATATGCAATTGTGGCAGAGTTTCCCCATGATTTTCTTGGGTACTTGCAGGCAAGGGGACACCTCAACTAACAAGTGTTCTGACAATCATGTACTGTTATGGTCCTCTCTAGGACCAATAGAGCACTGTGTTGTGTATGCTCAAAAAATCTTGGATGTTACCCCCTATAACCTGTAAACCTGCTTACGTTTATTTTTTAGAGAAAGCACTTTCCACATCCTCTCTCCCATTGCCTTACTTCAGATGTTCCGCTGGAGAGACATGGCCTACATTACGGTTGTTTGATCTTTCTGTTTTCTAGGCTTGCAGAACCAAACAGATGTATGGTTTGTGTTCCTCCCTGCTGCCCCCATTGAAACCCAGGGACCAGCCATTTTGGCTTTGGCTGGAGTGCTGATTCTCCTGGGATTGCTGACTCTGTTTTTATTGGGCCACTTGCTGATCTTCCACATTTATCTCAGTAGGTATCACATTATTGCTCATTAATTGTATTCCTGACCCATTGCACGCTATAGAAGCAACTGGAAATGTTATCTCTCATTTCAAATTCCTTGTTTTCTCTATTATTTATTTATTTTTACTAGCTTGGGGACCCGGTGCTGGCCGGGTTATTTGAGAAAGGAATTTTGTATCAAGGTTGGTCATATGGCTCCCAGTAGTCTCAGGAAGTTAGTGTACTGCGAGTCTCATCATCTGTGGTCCATCCTCCTACAAACTGCCCCAGGATGGAGAGTGGGTCATGGGGGCTCTGTGTGCCAAGTTTGGTCTTGATTGGTCATTAGATGAGGGTTGCAGCAGTCTTGGGAAGTGAGTGGAGGTTCTGCATCATCCATGCTCTGTCCTCAAAAGTGCACCAGGAAGTAGAGTGGGTGTAGTGAAATCTACCTTTTAGGCGACCAGGCCGAAGCCTGAATATCAGTAGCTTTCATCTTGAAAGACAGGCAGAAGCAGGAGGAGGAGTCAAGCCGACTCCTGATTGGGTAGAACAATTAGGGGAGGAGTCGGTTGAGAGAGGGAAAAAGAGGCTGTCAGTTTTGACAGGAGAGAGAAGTGTCTTAACATCAGACACAGAAGGAAGGGATTTTTAGGAGAGGAAGCTAAATAGAGTTCTGACAGGGAAGAAGAGTTTTTAAAGTGAGCCTTAAGGTTAGGGAATAAGGTTGAGACAGAGGCTAGGGTTTTACTGTGTTGAGAGGACCAGTAAAAGAGAGTTTTGTCTTCTTAAACTTAGGAGAAGTTTAAGATATCTTATTGCCCTGTGTGTGAGACAGATAGGAGTCTGTTCTCCAGTAGATACTGTTTCTAAGAATAGAATAGTGTGTTTAAGGAAACTCACAGTTAATAAAAGCTTTATTGTCAGTAGAACTAACTGTTTAACCCAACCAAGTCTCTACAACTGAATTACGCTTCTGTACCGCTCATTCCATGAGTAGATGTTTGTTTAAAGCTCATTAAACCTTTTCTAGTTCACTTTGAACTGGTGTCAGCTTCAGTTTGTCAAGCACTTTTAAAGTCCAGTCAGCCAGTTGAGAAGCAATAGAAGAACCCAGGGCAAACACACCTTACCTACAACACATTCACACCTTTGGTTCCTCAGACCAATAAAGCTGAGGTGGCGGCGGCTAATACTACCAATAACATCGGTCATTTATAATACTTTATCATCCCTTGCTTTGGTGGCAACGGTGGGATTCTTTGACCACCCTGCCCAAGCTGTGGCGTTTTAATTTTACTATACTGGTAGCAGCGGTGGGATTCTTTGTTCCCCCCTGCCCAGATATCTTTAATTTTACTATAGTGGGTCATGGAGGTTCTGTGTGCCAAGTTTGGTCTTGATTAGTCATTGGATGAGGGTTGCAGCGGTCTCGGGAAGTGAGTGGATGTACTGCAAGTCCCATCATCCATTGCCCACCCTCCTCCATGCAGCAGTAGGTTGTAGAGTGGGTCATGGTGGCTCTGTGTGTCAAGTTTGGTCTTTATCCGTCTTTGTTGTGGGCCGCAGTAGTCTGTGGGAACAAAAGGGGTGGGAAAGTACTACAAATCCCATCATCCATTGTCCATCCTCCCCCAGCCCTCACCAGATCGCAAAGAGGGTCATGGGGGTTATGTGTGCCAAGTTTGGTCTTGATTGGTCATTGGATGAGGATCGCAGCGGTCTCGGGAATTGAGTGGGGGTACTTCAAGTCTCATCATCCATGGTCAGCTCTCCTCCAAACTGCAGTAGGATGTAGAGTGGGTCATGGGGGCTCTGTGTGCCAAGGTTGGTCTTTATCAGTCTTTTGTTGGGGGCCACAGTGGTCTGTGGGAACCAAAGGGTTTGAAAGTACTACAAATCACATCATCCTTTGTCTGTCCTCCCCCAAACTTAACCAGGACATAAAGTGGGTCATGGGAGTTATGTGTGCCAAGTTTGGTCCAGGTCCATCACCCATGCTTGTCACAGTGGCCTGTGAAAGTGGCAGCCAATCAGAAAGCTGCCACATACACCGCCCTCCCTCCGCATACAAACACTGACTTTTATTATATACATAGATTTACAGTATTTATATCCCCCCCCCCCCCCGATGGGGATCACAATGCACATAGAAATGGCAGACTAGGGCCTCTTCCACACAGCAGTATGAAACCCACATTGAACTGGGTTATATGTTGATGTGGACTCAGACAACCCAGTTCAAAGCAAATGTTGTGGATTATCTGCCTTGATATTTTGTATTATACGGCTGTGTGGAAGGGCCCTGGGACACAATGGAGCAGTTGATTCAAATTGCAGAAAGAAAGATTCCACTTTATCACATACTGCTTACTTAAAGATTGTTTTTATACCGTGATAGGATGCAGATTTGTGCTGACTTTCAAACAATGAGATATTCGCAAGTAGCATAGACCTGCCCACTCATGCATTGTGACTATATTAAATATCACATTATCTTGCCTTTGAATTTATTTATTTATTGTGTCAGGGGCAAATCAAACAGTTGCATTGCATTTTTAACCAAACAAACAAACCACAAAGTTTGCCAGCTTGGTACTTGATTAAATGTCCTTTGACCAGTATCTGGCCACTTGGAGTGATTCTGGTGTTGCTGCAAGAAGGTCCTCCATTGTGCATGTGGCAGGGCTCAGGTTGCATTGCAGCAGATGGTCTGTAGTTTGCTCTTCTCCACACTCGCATGTCGTGGATTCCACTTTGTAGCCCCATTTCTTAAGATTGGCTCTGCATCTCGTGGTGCCAGAGCGCAGTTTGTTCAGCGCCTTCCAAGTCGCCCGGTTTTCTGTGTGCCCAGGAGGGAGTCTCTCATTTGGTATCAGCCATTGATTGAGGTTCTGGGTTTGAGCCTGCCACTTTTGGACTCTCGCTTGCTGGGGTGTTCCAGCGAGTGTCTCTGTAGATCTTAGAAAACTATTTATTGATTTAAGTCATTGGCGTGCTGGCTGATATCCAAACAGGGGATGAGCTGGAGATGTCACTGCCTTGGTCCTTTCACTATTGGCTACTACCTCCCGGCAGATGTCAGGCAATAACGGCAAAGCAGTGTAATTTCTCCAGTGGTGTAGGGCGCAGACACCCGTGATAATGCGGCATGTCTCATTAAGAGCCACATCTACTGTTTTAGCGTGGTGAGATGTGTTCCACACTGGGCATGCATACTCAGCAGCAGAGTAGCATAGCGCAAGGGCAGATGTCTTCACTGTGTCTGGTTGTGATCCCCAGGTTGTGCCAGTCAGCTTTCGTATGATATTGTTTCTAGCGCCCACTTTTTGCTTGATATTCAGGCAGTGCTTCTTGTAGGTCAGAGCATGGTCCAGAGTGACTCCCAGGTATTTGGGTGTGCTGCAATGCTCCAGTGGGATTCCTTCCCAGGTAATCCTCAGAGCTCGGGATGCTTGTCTGTTCTTAAGGTGAAAAGCACATGTCTGTGTTTTAGATGGATTAGGGATCAGCTGGTTTTCCCTGTAATAGGCAGTAAGAGCACCTAGAGCAGGGGTCCTCAAACTTTTTACACAGAGGGCCAGGTCAGAGTCCCTCAAACTGTTGGAGGGCCGGATTATAATTTGAAAAAAATATGAATGAATTCCTGTGTACACTGCATATATCTTATTTGTAGTGCAAATAAAACACTTTAAAACAATACAATAATTAAAATGAAGAACAATTTTAACAAAAATAAACTTATTAGTATTTCAGTAGGAAGTGTGGGCCTGCTTTTGGCTGATGAGATAGGATTGTTGTTGTTATGTGCTTTCAAGTCGTTTCAGACTTAGGTTGATCCTGAACGAGGGCCAGGTAAATGAGCTTGGAGGGTCGTATCTGGCCCCCGGGCCTTAGTTTGAGGACCCCTGACCTAGAGCTTCGGAGAACTTCTGTTCCCTGCTTGAGCAGTGATGGCATGATCATCTGCATAGATGAAACTCTTTGTCCCTTCTGGCAGTGGCTGGTCATTTGTGTAAATGTTGTACATGGATTGAGCAAGCACGCTTCCCTGAGGCAGGCTGTTCTTCTGTTTTCGCCATCTTCTTCTCTGGCCCTGGAACTCAACAAAAAAGCTCCTGTTTTGTAGCAGATTTGTAGCACCTTATATATAACTATGAAGTGAAATCTAAGATGTTATATCTATATAACATCTTATCTATATATTATATAGATAATTGCACCTTATATATAACTATATATAACTATAAAGTGAAATCTAAGATGTGACTGAGACAAGTGTTCAGTGATTGTTTCAAACTAGTTTTAGGCTGGAGTTATAAAGGCTGTGGGAACAACTTACAGATACCCTCGATGTTGAATTCTTTAATCATAGCAGCTTTGTTCTCCTGACAAATGAAGTGGCAGAATATCTGTCCTTTTTGCCCCTTTCCCCCTCTTTAGTGTGCCATCGAATGACCACCTATGAATACATTGTGCAGCAACGTCCCTCACAGGAGATGAAGGACCCAGACAAGCAGCTAGAATCCTGTCCTCCCCAAGTGAAGCCCATTCAGGTAATGGCTCCTTTCAGAACTTTATGTGTTTGATGCTTTGCCATTGTTTTGGTCTGCGCAGTAACTAATAAGCATTATCCATGGTGCCATTGCCATTGTCTCTGATTGAGAGGTCCTTTGCCAGTGTCGCATCCCGCTACTGATGCTTCCCAAATGGTGGGAAATAGGGAGATGGTTATTTAGTAATTGAGGGAGTTCTAGCACTGGAACTTTTAAAATTCTAAACTCACTCAAGCATTTCATAATCTTAAAACTGTTGCCAGCCAACTCTTTCACTTTTATCAACTCAAAATTGCAATCTGGGGGAATGGATGAGGGTTTTCCATTGTCGTTGAAATGAGTTGTGCTGACATCATTTAGTATCTGTGCTAAACAATCCAAACATTTCTTCGTTGTCCTGAGTTGTATAGGTAGTTTGCAGCAGCAGGTTTTGCAATAATTCTGAGTTGTGAAAAACTTAGGATCATGCCATGTCTGTTTACTTAAAATTTCTCTTCTTTGTTTCAGGAAATGCAGTTTTATACAAGAAGCTTTGGCTATACCAATCCTGAGATTCAGATAGAAGACTCTTCTGGATTGGCATCTGGAAAAGAGTGAGTAGGCCCAGTGCTAAACTGAGGTTTCCTGTCATTTAGTTTAATCCAGAAGTTACTGCAATGCAGTGGTTCTCAACCTGTGGGTCCCCAAATGTTTTGGCCTTCAACTCCCAGAAATCCTAACAGCTGGTAAACTAGCTGGGATGTCTGGGAGTTGTAGGCCAAAACACCTGGGGACACACAGGTTGAGAACTACTGTTGTAATACCACATTTAACTGTGAAATAAGTTTCTATGTGATCTGTTCAGTATAATAGTGTCAATAAAAGCATTTCGAATGACAGTCTGACATTATAGTCAAACTAGAACTGATGAAGTAAGGCAGGTATGGGCAAATCCAGGCCCAGGGCCCAGATGCAGGCCCTTTTCTCAAACCCTTCTCTCTCTCACCATCCTATCTTTCCTTCCTTCTCTTCCCTTCCTCCTTCCCTCCCATCTTTCCTTCCCTTCCACTCTTTCGTCCTTCCTTCTTTCTTTCATCCCTCCTTCCTCCTTCCTTCTTCCTTCCTTCCTTCCTCCTCCTTCCTCCCCCTCCCTCCCTCCCTCCCTCCCTCCCTCCCTCCTCCCTTCCCTTCCTCCTCTTTTCTCCTCCTTCCCTTCCCTCTTCTCTTCCCCTTCTTTCTCCCTTCCATCTCCCTTCCATCCATCCATCCTTCTCTTCCTCCCCTCCCTCTTCTCTCCCCCTCCCACCTTTCTTCCCTTCCATCCTTTTGTCCTTCCTTCGTTCCTTTTTTTCTCTTTTTCCCTCCTTTCTCCTTCCTTCCCTCCCTCCGTCCCTCCCTCCCTCGCTTCCTCCCTTCCTTCCTTCCTCCTCTCTTTCCTCCCTCCCTTTCCCTTCCACCCTTCCTTGCTTTCATCCTTCCTTCCTCCCTCCTTTCTCTCTTCTCTTTCCTTCCTTCCTCTCTCTCCCTTCCTTCCTCCCTTTCTCCCTCCCTCCTTTCTTCCCTTCCACCCGTTCATCCTTCCTTCCTTTGCTTTTTTCTACCTCCTTTTCTTTCTTTCTTTCTTTCTTTCTTTCTTTCTTTCTCCTTCCTTCCTTCCTTCCTTCCTTCCTTCCTTCCTCTTCCCCCCCCTCCTCCTCCCTTCTCCCTCCCTCCTCTCTTTCCTCCTCCCTTCCTTTCCACCCTTCCTTCTTCCATCCTCTCTTCCTCCCTCCCTTCCTCCTCCTCCTTCCTTCCTCCCTCCCTTCTCTCTTCTCTTTCCTTCCTTCCTTCCCCTCTCCTTCCTTCTCTTCCCTCTTTCTCCCTCCCTCCTTTCCTTTTCCCTTCCACCCTTCTTCCTTCCTTCCTTTGCTTTTTTTCTTCCTCCTTTTCCTCTCTTTCTCCTTCCTTTCTTCCTTCTCTCTTTCCTCCCTCCCTTATCTGTCTCCCTCCCTTCCCCTCCACTCTTCCTTCCATCCACCCTTCTCTTCCTCCCTCCCTTTCGTCCTTCCTTCCTTCTCTTTTTCCTTCCTCCTTTCCTCCTGGGGGATGTTTACCTGATGTTGCCTTCTTTAGATGCAAATGCTTAGTCTTTAAAACATAGTCCTCAAGGATTATTCTCACCTGCATCTATGCCAGGCATGCAGGCAAAACATCAGGAGAGAATGCTTCTGGAACAGGACCATACAGCCTGGAAAACTCACAGCAATTCAGTGATTCCATCCATGAAAGCCTTTGACAATACATAGTCCTCAAGGCTAAATAGATTAATCCCATTTTGTAAGTCAATTCAGTGGCTCTCAACTCCTCACAGAAAAAGGCTCAAATATCCACTCCCTTTATAAGGTATGTGTTTTGCAAGTGAGACCCTGTCTGACTTGGGCATGTAATTAAACTTGGTATAATAAGTTGTGTTCTTATGGTTGTGTTCCATGTACAAGTCCATGACAGATTGGTACGTGAGCCACTGACATCTTATTTTCTACTTTTAGCTTATCCACATTCTGCATCCACAGTGATGGAACAGAGTCCAAAACCATCCTATTCTCTGAACAGTTCGAAGCACAGACTAGAGACCAGCCACAGGTGGGTGGAAGTAGTTCCTTACTATATACCTTACTGTGCTCCTATGTCTCCAGCTCCTGAACTGTTACACTTTTCACATACTGAATTCATAATCATCTGAACTTTGTATTTGCTCTTCATCTCTTCCCTGTTGGGTAATCATGCCCACTCTGCCTCAGTTAGAGGGCATTTTAAATGTTTCATTATGAAATTATGTCTTTGGTCCAAAAGCAAGGGGCTGGCTGCTGGAGCTGATGAACAACTGCACTGCATCCTGTCGGAAAATCTGGAGGAAAGCAAGAGTCATAGCCATCTTGAAACCAGGCAAAGACCGTAATGATCCAAAAAGCTACAGACCAATCTCCCTGTTGTGCCACCTCTACAAAGTTCTGGAGAGACTTATTTTGCACAGAATTATGGAAAAAATAGACCCATGTCTGATTCCACAGCAAGCTGGCTTCAGGAAAGGCAAAAGCTGCACATCGCAAGTGCTGAACCTGACTCAGCACATAGAAGATGGCTTTGAAAGGCAGCAGATCACAGGAGCCGTCTTCATAGACCTGTCAGCAACTTATGATACTGTGAACCACCGCCTCATCCTGAGAAAAATGTATAATATCACAAAGGATTACCACCTCACCCGCCTCATAGGAAATCTGCTACAAAACAGGAGCTTTTTTGTTGAGTTTCAGGGCCAGAGAAGCAGATGGCGGAAACAGAAGAACGGCCTGCCTCAGGGGAAGTGTGCTTGCTCCATCCATGTTCAACATTTACACAAATGACCAGCCACTGTCAGAAGGGACAGAGAGCTTCATCTTTGCTGATGATCGTGCCATTACCGCTCAAGCAGGGAGCTTTGAGATGGTTGAACAGAAGCTCTTCGAAGCTCTAGGTGCTCTTACCACCTATTACAGGGAAAACAAGCTGATCCCTAATCCATCTAAAACACAGACATGTTGTGCTTTCCACTTTAAGAACAGACAAGCATCCCGAGCCCTGAGGATTACCTGGGAAGGAATCCCACTGGAGCATTGCAGCGCACCCAAATATCTGGGAGTCACCCTGGACCATGCTCTGACCTACAAGAAGCACTGCCAGAATATCAAGCAAAAAGTGGGCGCTAGAAACAATATCATATGAAAGCTGACTGGCACAACCTGGGATCACAACCAGACACAGTGAAGACATCTGCCCTTGTGCTATCCTACTCTGCTGCTGAGTACGCATGCCCAGTGAGGAACACAGCTCACCACACTAAAACAGTGGATATGGCTCTTAATGAGACATGCCGCATTATCACAGGGTGTCTGCGCCCTAGACCACTGGAGAAATTACACTTACAATGTGGCTCTTAATGAAACATGCCGCATTATGGCTGATACCAAATGAGAGACTCCCCCCTGGGCACATAGAAAACTGGGCGACTTGGAAGACAATGAACACACTGCGCTCTGGCCCCACGAGATGCAGAGCCAACCTTAAGAAATGGGGTACAAAGTGGAATCCACGACATGCGAGTGTGGAGAAGAGCAAACCACTGACCACCTGCTGCAATGCAACCTAAGTCCTGCCACATGCGCAATGGAGGATCTTCTTGCAGCAACACCAGAGGCACTCCAAGTGGCCAAAGGACATTTAACTGGTCAAAGGACATTTAATCAACTACCAAGCCTGCAAACTTTGTGTTTTGTTTGTTTGTTTGTTAAAAAAAATGCAATGCAACTATTTGGTCGGCCCCTAACACGATAAATAAATGAAATTGGAGGACACATTACTGTTAATATTTCAGCTCATAGCTAATAGCATGGCATCCTTTTGATTTTATATGGCTGTAGTTGTATTTTTATTCATTTATGTTTTACCTTTCCTTCATGAAGTTCAAGGTGAAGTACATAGCCATATTGGCACTGCCTCTAAATTGAAACTATTTGTCTTGATGTGTAGCTGCAGAAAAAGAAGAAACGGAAAAAGAGAAAAAAGTTGCATAAGACACCTTCTTCATTGCGGAAAGAGAGATTGAAAATGAGCACAGTTCCATGGTCTGCTCCTCTTCCAGCTTTACAGTCAGGTAAGATGAGAAGGAGGAATATCTTCTGTGGAGTGTCTTCCTTTATCTTCTTGAAACATTTCCTCTTAGGAGAGCAAAATGCCTCCTCAGCAGCACAGAGGATACAAATCGTATAATCACATTCGAAGGGAAGGAAGAGAGAAAGAAATAAAGACAAGGGAAGGAAGGAAGGAGAAAGAGAGAGGGGGAAGGAGGGCAGAAAAATATACATGTCATTAATTAATGAATTAAAAGCTTCTGTGTGTCTTTTAAATGATTTTATCATTTTAAATCAGAGTTTTTGATGATTTTAATTGTTTTAAATTGTATTGCTTGGGGGTTTTATAACTGATCCTTTCTGGAAGCCACCTTTAGAGCCCACACTGGGAGAAGGGCAACACACAAATTACATAATAATAATAATAATAATAATAATAATAATAATAATAATAATAATAATAATAATAATCTTTATTTATACCCCGCCATCATCTCCCCAGCGGGGACTCAGAGCGGCTTACATGAGGCCAAGCCCGAYCAACAAATTACAATAAAAATAAAACCAAAACACAACTGAAAARGCAAACAGTAAATAGCAACATCATAATAAAATAAAACATGTAAATACATAACAATATAAAGTTACAATAGACGCAATCACAATGACAATGGGCGGGCTGCATGTAATGATTAAAAGAGAGACTAATTAAAACTACCGTATATATTTGAGTATAAGCGAGGCACCTAATTTTACCACCAAAAACTGGGGAAATGGATTGACTCGAATATAAGCCGAGGGTGGAAAATGCAGCAGCTACTGGTAAGTTTCAAAATAAAAATAGATAGCAATAAAATTATATTAATTTAGGCATCAGTAGGTTAAATGTTTTTGAATATTTACATTAAACTGTAATTCAAGATAAGACTGTCCAACTCTGATTAAACCATTATTCTAACCTTCAATGTAAATATGCTTACATGTCCTCCAATAATAATAGAGTAAAATAATAATAATAATAAATGTAATAATAACAACAACAATAATAACAACAACAAAGTAAAATAATAAATAACATTGACTCGAGTATAAGCCAGGGGAGACTTTTTCAGCCTAAAAAAAGGACTGAAAACTAGGCTTATACTCGAGTATATACAGTAATTTAAAACTCGGGCGAGATTTATTTATCGTGTCATCAGCAACCATACCATTGTATTAACAAACAAACAAACAAACAAACAAACCACAAAGTTTGCAAGCTTGGTAATTGATTAAATGTCCTTTGTCCACTATCTGGCCACTTGGAGTGCCTCTGGTGTTGCTGCAAGGAGCTCCTCCATTGTGCATCATGTGGCAGGGCTCAGGGTGCATTGCAGCCACTGGTCTGTGGTTTGCTCTTCTCCACACTTGCATGTCATGGATTCCACTTTGTAGCCCCATTTCTTGAAGGTTGGCTCTGCATCTCGTGGTGCCAGAGCGCAGTCTGTTCAGCGCCTTCCAAGTCGCCCAGTCTTCTGTGTGCCCAGGGGGGAGTCTCTCATCTGGTATCACCCATGGATTGAGGTGCTGGGTTTGGGCCTGCCACTTTTGGACCTCGCTTGCTGGGGTGTTCCAGCGAGTGTCTCTGTAGATCTAAGAAAACTATGTCTTGATTTAAGTCGTTGACGTGCTGGCTGATACCCAAACAGGGATGAGCTGGAGATGTCTCTGCCTTGGTCCTTTCACTATTGGCTGCTACTTCCCGGCGGATGTCAGGTGGTGCTAAGCAGTGTAATTTCTCCAGTGGTGTAGGGCGCAGACACCCCGTGATAATGCGGCATGTCTCATTAAGAGCCACATCCACTGTTTTAGTGTGGTGAGATGTGTTCCACACTGGGCATGCGTACTCAGCAGCAGAGTAGCATAGAGAGACAGATTATTTGCGGAGAAGAGCTCATTATAGCGGGGGTTGAGGAATCAAGCTTTCCCACAGAGGGGGGACGACATATACTCCAATGACAGAACATTGAGGCTAAGCAGTAGTGTGGGATTGTATACCTACTCTAAGAGCCAGATTTAAGATCCTTTTTAAAGGTTTCTAGGCTCTAAATAACATGCTGTTCCTGCTTTTAAAATGTATTTCCAGAGTTGTCCTTCTCTGCTGCCACCTCTTCAGCCTCCTCCTCCTCCAGCCTCTGCCTCTCGGTGCCGCCCATCCTTCCTAAAGCTGTCACACCTCCAGGCAGCAACGCTCCTGTCCAGGCCGCGGGTCCCCCTGCTGATTACCATTCGGAGTCTGCTGAGTCCATGGAAGAAATCCCTGTGGCTCAGACACGTCTGGGGAGCAGTGCCTCTAATGCAGCTCCCAAGGGAAGTTCTCGGCATCTCCCTTTGCCTGCAGTCCACTTCCGAGGGGAAGGGCAGATGCACCCGAACGCTGGGCCCAGCACAGAAAGCAAGAACTGCCAGATGCCACCAGGGAAGCAGGTGGAGGAGCTACAAGCCTCTCCTCAGACCCCAGCTGTGTTTGTGAGCAGAAGCAGCGGGGAGCCACCTGTCCTCAGCCCCTGGTCCGAAGACATGTCGTCTGAACCCTCTCACAGAAAACACTCCAGCAAACGGCACAAAGCAGGCCACCAGGACAGCCAGCTTTGGGACTCAAGTGCCAGCTCAACAGCAGCTTAAAGACCTCTTGTCCTAGAAGCCATAACATCCAAGGAGAAACAGGGGCATGGGGATTGGTCATTTTCCAAATATATTTCTGTTCAAGGAATTAATCCGGAGTGATCTTTCTTGCTCTCTGGAGCTGACTGGTCTTGGCTCCTGGCTCCTTGCCTTTTTTGTGTGTTATGGGAAATAGGTTTATTCACTAACTTTGAAAACTCCTGCAACCAGGTCTGTAGTCTTCCTTCAAAGTTTGATCAGAAGCCTGAAGATTTCCCAGCTGATTGGGAGATTTATTTACTTATCGTGTCAGGAGCAAACAGACAGTTGTATTACATTTTTAACAAAACAGACAGACAGACAAAACACAAGGTTTGCCAGCTTGGTAGTTGATTAAATGTCCTTTGACCAGTGTCTGGCCACTTGGAGTGCCTCTGGTGTGGCTGCAAGAAGGTCCTCCATTGTGCATGTGGCAGGGCTCAGGTTGCATTGCAGCAGGTCAGTGGTTTGCTCTTCTCCACACTCGCATGTCGTAGATTCCACTTTGTAGCCCCATTTCTTAAGGTTGGCTCTGCATCTCGTGGTGCCAGAGCGCAGTCTGTTCAGCGCCTTCCAAGTCGCCCAGTTTTCTGTGTGCCCAGGGGGAGTCTCTCATTTGGTATCAGCCATTGATTGAGGTTCTGGGTTTGAGCCTGCCACTTTTGGACTCTCGCTTGCTGGGGTGTTCCAGTGAGTGTCTCTGTAGATCTTAGAAAACTATTTCTTGATTTAAGTCATTGACGTGCTGGCTGATACCCAAGGGGATGAGCTGGAGATGTCACTGCCTTGGTCCTTTCACTATTGGCTGCTACTTCCCGGCGGATGTCAGGTGGTGCAATTCCGGCTAAACAGTGTAATTTCTCCAGTGGTGTAGGGCGCAGACACCGTGATAATGTGGCATGTCTCATTAAGAGCCACATCCACTGTTTTAGTGGTGAGATGTGTTCCACACTGGGCATGCATACTCAGCAGCAGAGTAGCACAGCGCAAGGGCAGATGTCTTCACTGTGTCTGGTTGTGATCCCCAGGTTGTGCCAGTCAGCTTTCGTATGATATTGTTTCTAGCACCCACTTTTTGCTTGATGTTCAGGCAGTGCTTCTTGTAGGTAAGGGCACGGTCCAGAGTGACTCCCAGTTATTTGGGTGCGCTGCAATGCTCCAGTGGGATTCCTTCCCAGGTAATCCTCAGGGCTCGGGATGCTTGTCTGTTCTTAAGGTGGAAAGCACATGTCTGTGTTTTAGATGGATTAGGGATCAGCTGGTTTTCCCTGTAATAGGCGGTAAGAGCACCTAGAGCTTCGGAGAGCTTCTGTTCAACCATCTCAAAGCTCCCTGCTTGAGCAGTAATGGCACGATCATCAGCATAGATGAAGCTCTCTGTCCCTTCTGGCAGTGGCTGGTCATTTGTGTAAATGTTGAACATGGATGGAGCAAGCATGCTCCCCTGAGGTAGGCCATTCTTCTGTTTCCGCCATCTGCTTCTCTAGCCCTGGAACTCAACAAAAAAGCTCCTGTTTTGTAGCAGGACTGGGGGATGCTTGCTTTCTTATCCAAAGTGATCTTGCATAACTTATCTTCCCTTTTGCTTAGTACAGCATGTCTCCAAGGTGTTTAAAACAGCTGTAAGTCCTCAACTAGCATCCACTGACATCTTTTTTCACATCTCTGAATCGGAAGATGCAAAGGGTATGACACCCCATACAGCAGGCCTTGGAATCATGCAGCTCTGTTGGGCTGCAACACCCAGCACTCCTCACTCCACCATATATATCTTTGCTCTTCAGAGATGGTTTAGTCACGCATTATAAGCGTTGAAAGGGCAGAGTCCTCTTGAATCAGTTCTCACCGCTATGCTTGAAATACCATAGTTACTTTCTCCACAAAGTCATGCTGGATTGGGGACATGGGAGCTACATTTCTGAAATATGCTTTTTTCCAACCTCTGGTTTCTCCCTTCCCTTTTGGAGAATGACCACCCGGTGGCAGCTATAATTTGCATCCAGAGGGTGCCCTTCCTGACATTTTAGTTAAAAAAGAATCTGGTTGCAGCAGACGGAGAAAACACCTGCCTGAAGCCCCAGAGAGCGGCTGCTGGGCAAAGCAGCCAACATTGTCTGGTCTTGTAAGGCAGCTTCTTACATTCATGCAGCAATATTCTAACACACCTTGAACCGCTCTGATAACAATAAAACATTTCTACAGTTTTTAAGAAATACTGTTTTTCCTGTTTGGTGCCTTCCCTCTGCTAAGGAATCTTGCAGTGGAAATCTGTTTGGATATTTAGCGCAGTGTCCTTAAGGAGCCCCCGATGATGCAGTGGGTTAAACTGCTGAACTTGCTGAATGAAAGTTCGGCAGTTCAGATATGCTCTCTGGATGTAGATGAACTACAGCTACAAAACTCAAGGGCAATGTCCACCAAACCCTTCCAGTATTTTCTGTTTGTCATGAGGTTGTGTGCCAAGTTTGGTTCAATTCAATCATTGGTGGGGTTCAGAATGCTCTTTGATTGTAGGCGAGCTATAAATCCCAGCAACTACAACTCCCGTATGTCAAGGCCTATTTTCCCCAAACTCTGTCAGTGTTCACATTTAGACATATTGAGTATCCATGCCAGGTTTGGTCCACGGTGCTCTTTGGATGTAGGTGAAGTCCAAAACTCAAGGTCAATGCCCCACCAACCCTTCCAGTATTTTCTGTTGGTCATGGGAGTTCTGTGTGCCAAGGTTGGTTCAATTCCATCGTTGGTGGATTTCAGAATGCTGTTTGATTGTAGGTGAAGTATACATCCCAGCATCTGCAACTCCCAAATGACCAAATCAATCTCCCCAACTCCACCAGTATTCAAATTTTGGTCCAGTGAATGAAAATACATCCTGCATATCAGATATTTACATTATGATTCATAACAGTTCAGTTAGGCGATCCCTCGCTTTCCGAGGATGATTGTCTTCCAGTGTTCTTGTGGGTCCGTATGTGGCTGTGGAGCCCTATTGCTCTGCATCTTCTGCAGTGAGGGCATTGGTTTCCAGGTGGAAGGCGTGGTTGGCTTGACGCACCTTCCTCTGGCACATTTCTCTCTTTCACCCTCCATTCATGCCTCTTCAAATTCTGCAGCACTGCTGGTCACAGCTGACCTCCAGCTGGAGCGCTCAAGGCCAGGGCTTCCCAGTTCTCAGTGTCTATGCCAGAGTTTTTAAGGTTGGCTTTGAGCCCATCTTTAAATCTCTTTTCCTGCCCACCAACATTCCGTTTTCCATTCTTGAGTTCGGAGTAGAGCAATTGCTTTGGGAGACGGTGGTTGGGCATCCGGACAATGTGACCGGTCCAGCGGAGTTAATGTTGGAGGACCATCGCTTCAATGCTGGTGGTCTTTGCTTCTTCCAGCACGCTGACGTTTGTCCGCCTGTCTTCCCAAGAGATTTGCAGGATTTTCCAGAGGCAGCGCTGATGGAATCGTTCCAGGAGTTGCATGTGAGGTCTGTAGACAGTCCACGTTTCGCAAGCATAGAGCAGGGTTGGGAGGACAATAGCTTTATAGACAAGCACCTTGGTATCCCTACGGATGTCCCGGTCCTCAAACACTCTCTGCTTCATTCGGAAAAATGCTGCGCTCGCAGAGCTCAGGCGGTGTTGTATTTCGGTGTCGAAAATTACAGTTATGAAGTAGCAACAAAAATAATTTTATGGCAGGGGCTCACCAGAACATGAGGAACTGTATTAAGGGGTCGGGACATTAGGAAGGTTGGGAAACACTGGTTTAGATCAAAGGTTACTCGCTGTTGCACTTAGTTGAACCTTCACTCTAGGCCAGGGGTCCTCAAACCTTTTAAACAGAAGGCCAGGTCAAACTGTTGGAGGGCCGGATTACAATTTGAAAAAAAACATGAATGAATTCCTATGCACATTGCACATATCTTATTTGTCTTGCAAAAAAAAAAACACTTTAAAACAATACAATAATTAAAACGAAGAACAATTTTAACAAATATAAATTTATTAGTATTTCAATGAGAAGTGTGGGCCTGCTTTTGACTGATGGGATAGGATTGTTGTTATTGTTGTGTGCTTTCAAGTCATTTCAGACTTAGGTTGACCCTGAGCGAGGGCCGAGTAAATGACTTTAGAGGGCTGTATCCGGCCCCCGGGCCTTAGTTTGAGGACCCCTGGTCTAGGCTGCCCATGTAGGGCAGGTTATGAAGTGACTGTGCAACTTGGTTTGGCCATGCTGGTGGTGGCCTCTAGAGGGCTCAGTCTGACTAGCTGTCTAGCAAAGCCTTGAGACCGTACTGGCATCAACACGGTTAAACTTACTAGTTTTCTTGCTCAAGTCTCAAATTTGACATTGGCAGCAGCAGGCATACTCCTCCAGCTATCTCTATAGGTTGTGGTGGGTGGAAGATCTACAGGCCACTCTAAACACCTTTGCAGAAGCATACAAGAAGCTCGGATTGTCGTTGAAAATCAAGAAAACCAAAGTGCTCTTCCAGCAGTCACCAGCCAATCCCTCTCCAATGCCAGAAACAGCTTAATGGTGTAACATTAGAAAATGTTGACCATTTCTGCTACCTTGGCAGCCACCTCTCCACCAAAGTCAACACGACACTGAAATACAACACCGCCTGAGCTCTGCGAGTGCAGCATTTTTCCGAATGAAGCAGAGAGTGTTTGAGGACCGGACATCCGTAGGGATACCAAGGTGCTTGTTTATAAAGCTATTGTCCTCCCAACCCTGCTATATGCCTGCGAAACGTGGACTGTCTACAGACATCACATGCAACTCCTGGAACGATTCCATCAGCGCTGCCTCCAGAAAATCCTGCAAATCTCTTGGGAAGACAAGCGGACAAATGTCAGCGTGCTGGAAGAAGCAAAGACCACCAGCACTGAAGCGATGGTCCTCCGCCATCAACTCCGCTGGACCGGCCACGTTGTCCAGATGCCCGACCACCGTCTCCCAAAGCAGTTGCTCTACTCTGAACTCAAGAATGGAAAACAGAACGTTGATGGACAGGAAAAGAGATTTAAAGATGGCCTCAAAGCCAACCTTAAAAACTCTGGCATAGACACA